CTTAGAAGGGTCAGTTGTCAAAGGACACAGATTTAACTGGCATGAAAGGGTATCTATCTGAAAAGGTAGTGAAGGCAGATTTAATAATAACTTTCAAAGAGAATTGGACAAATACTTGAAGAGGAATTTTTTCTAAGTCTATGGTTAAAAGCCCATTTGGATAGATCTTTCAAAGAACTGGCACAGACTCAATGAGCCAAATGACCTTCTTCTGTGTTACATCATTCTATTGCTGAACTAAAGTTCAACAAAAATCACAAAATACTGGAAATAGCAACTTAGGCAGGATCTGAAAAAAATGCTAATAACCAAGAGGAATGTGCAGCAGGTCAGGATCACTGTGAGGCAGAGCAGAATCGCAATGAAGCAGATCAGAATCACTGCAAAGCAGATCAGCAGAAGTATGAAGAGGGTCAGGAAGAGAGCGAAGCAGATTGGGATCGCTGCTAAGCAGACCAGGAAGATGTGAAGCAGGTTGGGATCACTGTGAACCACATTTAGAGGAATATGAACCAGGTAATGATTATTGAAGTAATAGAAGAGAGGAAAAAAAAACAAACTGTGATAAGACAGGAAGGCAATGAGTTGATTGGCTGGTGAATATTGTAGCTTTGTTTCACTTTCTCCAAAGTTAGGAACTTAATCTAAGGAACTGAGAAATTAAAAATTTCAAATTTGTTGGTAATAAGGTTTAATGAAAGCAACACAATTAACCTCCCTATCCTGAATTGATAAAGAGAATAGCTGCTGAATCTTCTATTAAGCAGCAAGTTTTATTATCTGATAGACAGAATGGCAGGGCAGCCCCAACCCTTGGAATGCACATCCCGTTCCACATGGGAACCCAAGAACATTTCCTGCATCTTGGATAATATATAGAAAGTATCATCTGTTGTAGCAGCTCAAACTCTGGGTTTTGGAGCATCATTGTGAGTTTGAGAGCTTTGCAGATAGCAAATTTATAAATGTGGCCACTCTGCAGATTAAAAGAGGGAGACAGGGAATGGACCATCACCATTCAGTCAGTGTAGGAACCTCTTGTGTGCATTTCACTCTCCAACTAGTATTCAGTTATGAATACCGACAAAAGCAATGGTTTTTCTGGTATGCAGCCACAGCCAAATTCATTGCTCCATGGCTGGCTCAGCTGTACAGTGGGGCATTAAGGAGATTGTGAGTAATAGTGATATGATATTCATTAGCTGTAGGAAGACAGGGTATTTCTAGTAGCTGCAGACATAAATCCAGATGGTATGTTAATGATGTCACCAAATATATGCCAAGCACCCTGACAAGAGAGGGACAGCCAGTGGTCATGGTCCACCTTGGTACCAATGATAGGTAGAAAGAGGGATATAGTCCTGCAGTCAGAACTCCGGGATCTAGGTAAGAAATTAGCAAACAACACTTCAAAAGTATACTGGATCACTTCCAATACAATGTACAAATATGGAAACAGGAGGATGGCACAGAAGAATGCATAGTTGAAAGAGATACTTCTGAAGGGAGGGCTTTAGATTCGTGGAGCAATGAGATCAGTTCTACAGAGACAGCACTTTCCAATCCCAAGACCAATACTATCTAGAAGGGCAAAGGCAACAGATGCATGGGTACATCTCACCTGGAAGTTCCCTTAAAGCCACTCACCATCCTGACTTGGAAATCTGACTTCCTTCAGTGTCACTGGATCAAAACCTTGGAACTCCGTCCCAAATAGCATTGTGGTTCTATCTACACCAAATAAACTGCAAGAGTTTAAGAAGGTAGCTCACCAAAATTTTCTCAAGGGCAGGCAGCGATATCCACATCCCACGAGCAAATTTTTTTTAAAAAGTGGAGAGCTTCAAAAAGGACATAGGAGGTTGGTGGAATCAGAAGACAAGTGGCAGATGAAATTTAATGCAGAGAAGTGTGAGGTGATTCATTTTGGTAAAAATAATGCAGCAAGACAATATAAATGAAGGGTACATCTCAAAACAGGGCTGGGGAGTAGAGGGTCTTGGGTGTATATGTTCATTAATTACTGAAAGTAGCAGGAGGCATTAAGAGAACAGTTAACAAAACATATTATATCTTGGGCTTTATCAACACGGGCAAAGAGTACAAACACAAGAAAGATATGTCAGACCTGCATAAAATATTGATTCTGGAGTTTCTGTAATTATAGTGAATTTAGAGGAATTATAGTGTTAATGTGTTGCCAAAAACTGCATTCATCATCTGTTATAACAACGTGTAGAGCTGGATGAACACAGCAGGCCAAGCAGCATCAGAGGAGCAGGAAGGCTGACTTTTCGGGCCTAGATCCTTCGAGATGCTGGCGCATTGCTGCGAGTGTTTCAGGAGTCGCAGGGAGAAACGCTTTTTAAGGATCTGTGTTCTGAATGTAGACATTGTCACGGTTGGGGCCAAATTGGGAAGGCCTGAATGTGGACTGTAGTCCATTGGGGATGATCTGTTCAGGAGTCGCAGGGAGAAACGGTTCTGAAGGATCTCAATGTTCTGAATGTAGATATTGTCACGGTTGGGGCCAAATTGGGAAGGCCTGAATGTGGACTGTAGTCCATTGGGGATGATCCTCCTTCATCATCTGTTGCATGTTTCCCTTGGATTTTACATATTTTAATGAGGTCAAGCATAGCCCCCACCAGTAAAGCAAGTGAACAATTGCAAAGATAACTCCTCAGAGATACTGCTCCACCTGGTACAGTTTGATGATTTAATACAATGTTTGTTATTATTCTAGTGCATGGCATTGATTCTTTGTAATCTCATCAGTCAACTTAGTACACTGTCACCAGAGCATATTTATTGTAAAAATAAAATCAAGGAATTGGACAGCATTTAAGAGGCATTTGTTTTCCTTCTTGTACAATATTGTCATACTGCAGTCTGGAACGCAAACTATTACAATTTGTTTTATTATTTAATAACCTGAATAACAGTTTGTTAATAAATCAGGTTTTGAAATCATTATCTTTCATTTTTAAAACTTTTATTGTGTCAAAAGCAATTGTTTTGTAGGAAACAACATGTAAAACACCATTCCAAATAACTTTTCAACTTTTAAATTAAAAAACAAAATACACAACGGGAAACTATGAATTAAGAAAAACAAAGCAATGTCATGTTGAGATGCTATACAGGATTTCAATAGCAATCTTGCAGATACCATAACAAAAATATGATGAAGCAATCCCAACTACTCCATTCATACACTTTCTAAACATTGGTTTCATTCAAAAGTCTACCCTAGGTCACAGGCTTGTTATTTAATTTTTCCCATTTATCTTTTTCCATTACCTTTTCGCTAAACATAGTAACTCATTTCAACTACAATTTTGCAGGTACCAACAGTCCTCTGCTACATCATCAAATATTTTTACGTGTGACTTCATATGATCATTTCAAGGGCATAGAAAATTTAAGCCTGTACTTGACTAGTATCTACATATGTACTTTGGAACAGTAGATTGGGAACGGGAGGAAAAAATCCATGTGGATATCTATTTTCCCAAGTCTGATAATCTGTGAGGTCAACTAGAATGTCCCCATCACAGTTTCTGTTTCATTCACTTAATGCAACATAGAGTTCAAATTAAACCGAGGATTTTTCTAACCTAGGCTCAGTATGGGATTAGATGACGTTTCAACTCATTGAACCATCCATTTATCTAAGACAACTTCAACATTTTATTATTAAATTACAAAAGCCAGGTTAATCGAATTGTCAAGTAAGGTGGGCAGTGGAATTGCCTGCTAAAACTAAGACTACAGACATATTTAAAGGGCTAGCACAGCACTGCTGTTTACTATAAATGAAGGGAGACCAGGGTGATTTGGATAGTGAAGCAATGGAATCAGTTAAAATAAGTTACAGTTTAAACATTTTGAAGATTATGAACAAATGAAAAAGCTGGAGATGGAATTTCATAGGGCTGAAAAGTTAAGGAAGGGTAGATTGAATTAAAAATAATGAAATTTAGAAAACAAGAATTAGAATTGCAAAGTATAGTAAGAAACTTGAATACAGGCTGAAATGCTGTAGTTTGAAAAGTGATGTCAATGATAATGAGGACTCCAGTGGGGAGAATCCCAGTAATAGTCTAAGGTCGCATAAAGAAATGTTTAAGTTTGTACAGGACCTACCAAAATTTGAGGAAAGGGATGTCAAGGACTGCTTAATGACCTTTGAGAAATTATCAACACAAATGAATTGGCCAAAGGAACACTGGACATATACCACGCAAAGCAAACTGACGGTAAAACACAAAAAAATTAAGTTTCATTGTCAGTGGACGTTTATAGGGATTTTGATCAGAAAAAAAAAACAGCTATACAGATATAGAGATAACATGATGTAGAGCTGGATGAACACAGCAGGCCAAGCAGAAATCTGAAGAAGGGTCTAGGCCCGAAACGTCAGCCTTCCTGCTCCTCTGATGCTGCTTGGCCTGCTGTGTTCATCCAGCTCTACACCTTGTTATCTCAAATTCTCCAGCATCTGCAGTTCCTGCTATCTCTGAAACAGCTATACAGATATATACAAGTTAATGCCTGAGGCAAAACAAATTTGAATGTCAATGAGATTGAGAGCAGATCTTTCAATGTGAAGTTGTGGTCTATGACCATGATTCTTAGCTTGTCATAAAAATACCTTTATTGAGGGAACAAGAAACATCTCAGAAAGTTTAAGTTATTACATGCTGTAAAATCTCAAGAGATCATTGTGAAAAATACTTCTCTATAGTAAATTTCTGCATTGCATATCGATTTATATTTGTTGTGAAATATCTACCTCTCAGTTATACTATTTCAAAATATTTCTACAAAAATGAGATTTCAAATCTAACAACAGATTCAACTGCATAGAATGTCTAATAATCTATACCAGAAATTAAACCTATCAATCTACCTACCTAGTATCATACACGTATTTACATGTCATCTTAAGCATTTATGACTAATTTTTAGCAACTTTATGACAGACTTGTCTAGGCTCTTGCCAAAACACTCTACAAATACAACTTTGCAACTTAGGATAGTTAAGAAGATAATACTTTCAAGTAAAAGTGATAAAAGCAAGAAAATTGAGATGGTTCCTTTTTCTTCCAACAACCAAATATTTACAGCTGTAAATGTGGCAGTTGAATAGTGACATCACGGAAATATCGATGACTTATAGCAACCTTTGCAGAAATCCGCTTGTTTGGATCATACTGGAGCATTTGCTACAAATGAAAAGGAAACATTTCAAAAACTTTTATTTTCCACATTGGTCACTAAAAGTAACAGGAACACAGATAGACACTTCTAGTGCTGATTAAAATAACTACTGATAATTTTAAAAAAATTAACCAGCATATAATTTCCCATAGAGAACTAATAGCAAAGAATATAACATTCAACCTAAATCTATGATAAACAAGTACAAGAAAATTCAGGAATCTTATCATGTTAAGAACAGCAGAGCATGTTGTTAAATGCATATGAGCTCATTAATAACATCTAAAAACTTCAGAAAACTATCAGGAAACCATTTAACAATAAGAAATATAAGTCTAGAAAGGTAACAAATTCCTTCCAACTGAATCTAACCTGCCTAATATTCTGAAATAATTATGCACTCGATCTTCTGCCCTTCCTTCTTCTTCTTTAAAGGTTTCTCAAATATTAGGACATTTTCCTTTAAAAAGTGTTAACATAGTTTCTGCTTTACTGTTGTTTTATCAATCCTCTTCATAAAAATATATTCCAAACCTTTTTGGATCTTTTGCTCATTCTAAGTTCACTGTTGATGATTCATCCACAAGTGGATTTTTGTTTCCCTATGCACTGGTCAAAACTGTTTTTGAATATATTATTTTGAATATATTTCAGATCAATGCTTAACATTCTGAAATTCTTTTATCCTTGAGTCATCTTAGTGAATCTCTTCTCTATCCTTTTCACGTTCTGGACTTTCTTATGGGTACCTATTCATATACACAATTCTTACTGCAACCTAACAAATCATCTGTGCAAGTTGAAGGTCAATCATTGTTATAGTCTATGGCATGTTGAATATATAAAGCAAAATTTGGAAGATGTAAATGTTCAGGCACATTGCCATCAGCCATTTATGCTATCATACAAAATCAAATTCTACCCCTATTTACAAAACCTACAGTCTCACCCACCTTTTTAATATCTTTATAAATTTGATGTTGTAATTTAAAACAAAATTACAGATTTAAATCCTGTGTGCCTTTGCTATTTTACTGTGCTCTTAAAAGCAAAAAATTCTGTAATCTGTACCACTGAATGACAAGAAGAAACAATGGTACAATTCAAACTCATGTACTTGGATATTGCAACCTTAATTTAGCATGTGAGACCCAACAGGTCAAATCTAACTCAAAAAACTACAGCATGGAAGTCAGCCTGGCCTTTCAGACAGCTAGCTGTTTGCCCCAAAAATCATGTTCTTGCATAATTATATGTTTGAAATGTAAGTCAAATTCCTCAACCTTTCAGCCACAACAGGTCATACTTGCGTTAGTCAGCTTCAACTTTTCACCAACAAATGGATGCTTTACTTACTGTATCTTACAACTAAGTATAAGGGATCAAGCAGGTAAGACGGGGTGTATTATGAACATGTGCAGGAGTTTAAAGTATGCTCACACAGAGCAGACCCTGCATAGCAAACAACAAACATAGTGAACATCCACACCCTGCATTTTTATTCAGCAAATAAGTTTACCCTGTTTTTGGAGGTATTTTTCAAGATGGCAAAGGTCAACTTATATGTTGACATTTATATATGTTTTCAGTGGGACAGCAACAGGGTACTGATATAAAGACATTCCTTCAAGTTTTGAGCCAGTATCTACACCACTTTATAAATGGATACACAACTGTTAATATGCCTCACAATACAAGTCTTTATTCTCTGAAGGCTGTTCCCAGAGCCATGGGCCTAGACAAATATCAACTACTGCGGAGGACCATCAACTCAGTGAAAGATGCTCTTTGGCTTGCCTGACACTTCCATTGCAAGTAGTTGTCCATGACTGACAGTTGTAGATTGAGACATTGCAACTTCAAGACTACTGAGGGACACTCTGAAGCTTGGGCTAGCAGCCTTAAAGACTGAATGGGGAAAGATCACAGTCTAAGCCCCGCTGCCATGGTACACTGAGAAGGCTAGAATGAAACGTACAACATCTTGAGCTAAATAATTAACATGGATTATATATTTTAAATTTAGTCTGAAATTGTAAGGGTAGTAAGGCACCTCAACGATATTGAAAGTAATTGAATTGTACTGTACTTTAATGCTAATATTGAACTATTATGTAATATACTTTTACATATGATATGAATAAAGTATATTTTTTGAAAATAAGTTATAATAGTAATTTATTGGGATGTACTACTAACCATTAGTAGGTCTTTGCCATCTATGTCCAGATTGGGTAGCATCTTGTTGAAATCTTGTTTGACCCACCGAGGGAAATTTGCTTTGTAATCAGGTAACTGTGTTACCCCAAGCCACATAGCCTCATTTGGTGTACCAAGTGTGCGAAAAATCCTGAAAAGTTGATCAATCTCGGAATCTCCAGGAAACAGAGGTTTTCTTGTGACCTTTAATTGAAGAAAGAATTCACATAGATCTTAAAGGTGATTGGTATAGGGCATAGATCTGTGGAATTATATTGATTTTATTCCCTTCATTTACATTTTCTATTGAAAATGAAATCTGACATTGGGACAAGGGATCCAACTGCATCTTAGTTCTTCACCCAATTTATTATACTTCATCCGTGAGATTACATAGGTGTCAACGAATTATTGAACTATAAAAGACACTAATCCAAGGCCAAACTTTTCTTACTTAATATCTAAATGAGGAATTTTATTATAAAAACAGAAAGTGATGGGGAACTCAGCAAGTTTAGTATCATCTGGGATGTCTGTGAGTAAACTTAACGTTTCAAGTCCAATATGAATCTTCTTTGGAATGCATTTTAAGGTCAAAGAGAAAAAGTCTTGCTTTTCCCACCCCATCCGAGGTGCCTAATCTCCATCCATAACAATACTGAGGCTGACTGTAATAAACCAATTGAAGCTGCAGTTCAAACCAGCAAACACAGAAAGGACTTAGAGTGAAATTTGGCTGTTTTCTCATTCAAGTAAATCACAAAAACCACAGAGCTGATAAAGTATGTAACCCAGCTAGTATAAGATCAAAGCAACCTTACGAAATTTGTATATCCACTATTTTTATATTCAACACATTTTCTGCATTACTGTTCACTGTCAGTCAAAGTTTTATGAGAACAGGATGCTTAGCCATGTGGTCGTACTAAGAATACTCATATCAAGTTTGGAGTAGCTACTGCATTTTGGAACAGCAGGAAGTACACCATGGGTCCTGAGGATTTTGAGTATGTGTCCAGAGCCTTGAGGCATACTGAAAGGATAGGTCTGGGAGCACTGGGGCAGATTTTGGTATTATGAACAGTGTCCAAGTTAATGTAAAATATCTCCTTCGGTCTCATACCTAACTGCGCCTATTCTAATGACAGAAGCTGTTTGTGAGTAATACATAATTTAAAGTTTGTCGATAATGTAAAAGTTGCCCATGCAAATAACTCCTCAGTTTCTTTAAAGTCTTTGAAAGGAAGTGACTAAAATCTTCACGGAAGGAAAGTCACTCCTATTTTCAATTCATGCTCACACTCAAATTGCATTGCATGATATTTTGAAAATTACACATACTCATGATGAATAGATTGCACACAGGTAAATTTTGTAATTGGTACCTATTCAGACGTAGTGAAAGAGGTTTCCAACTGTAGGAATATCCAGTCAGGTATTAGTCATTTCAATTACTGAAAATAAAAGTTTTTCAAGGGTGACTTAATTTGTCCAAAAATAAAATGATAGTAAAACCTTAATGCATTGGAACAGAAAATTCCCATTATAAATGCTGACATGGAATTTATATATTGTGACATGTTGTTATATATAAGATCAGATTTTCAATTGTTCCCAGAGGCAGCAGAGGGCAGAAAAATTGCTGTGAGACAGCTGCACGTCAATCATCAGCATTTCCTGCCTCTGGACCATTTTAAGGAGGCTGAGTTGGAGATGCAGTGCTAGTGAGGCAGTCACATTTAAACAGCATCTGGATGGGTACATGAATAGGAAGGGTATAGAGGGATATGGGCCAAATGCTGACAAATGGGACTAGATTAACTTAGGATATTTGGTCGGCATGGATGAGTCAGACTGAAGGGTCTGCTTCCATGCTGTACATTGCTATGACTCTATAACTAAGGAGTCTATTTAATGCCCTTTTCCTACACCAACTGGAATTTTCCAGTTGGTATCTGGGGCCTACCGTGTGGCCAAACCATGCTCAGGGAAAGAAGATGGTCTCCTATTAGCAGGTCTAGGGCCCAGAGTTCCATAGTAAGTTAACCTATTTGCGCAACCCATCTCCGCAATGATGACAATGCAGAAAGGTAGCCACAGCGAGTCCGCAGTGTTCTCTGCAGTGCCCCTCCACAATAGCGCTCTCATGGTTGTGACCATTTTTGTTTTCAAAATTTTTGGAAATGCTGAGAGGGTGCCTCCACCTTGTGGTGTCCTCCCTTTCCCTTACCAGCAAGCTTCCTTTTCCTTTGTGTTGGAGAATCTCCTATTGGTCTTTCAGTGTCAAGAATTTGTTCAGCATATTTAATAGGATGGCAAACATGCACTTTAGCTGTTAATTTGTCATTCATTTAAAAATTATGTCAGATGACAATTTTTGACATGGTGGGCAGTCAGGACTCTGATCTCATTGTCCCAAACCCGAAACAAAAATCCTACAGTCTTTCTATTACCGGGTATAGGAAGTAAATTTGATATGTACTGGGAGGTCAAAATGTATTCGAGACTTATAATAGATACACAGATGACATTTCAGCAGTGAGATCATTCAACACATTTTTACACGTGTTTTTATTTTCCTCAAACTTTAAAAGGAAAAAAATTCTTAAAATACTAGGAAGGAATAAATACATATTTTATATATACATATAAATACATGTAAAAACAAAAATATATACATATTTTATAAATTAGTTGTATTTCTGATAATAAATACCATTTCTGCAAAGATGCATCCTATGCTCCAAACATCTACTGCTGTTGAGTAAAATTTACATCCCATTAGAATTTCTGGTGCTCTGTACCACAAGGTTACAACCTAAAAATGAAGTCAACAATGATATTTAATCACAGAAAAATAAAAATTTAGAATGTTTAATTCCAAAATCATTTCAACATAAATGTGTTAAAAATATATTTGACTGATCACTGTCCACTATAGATTCTAAAAGTATTCAAGAGTCTTAAACTATCAGCAGATTTCAGTGATTACTGAGAAATGTAAATGTTTATTGCTACTGAGGTCTATATGTGGCTCAATAATTAATATATAAATAGAGTAATGAAGTTGCTCTTTGCACTACCTAGGGCAGGGAAACAAGACTATAACAGATTTGGCATTACCTGCCTCAATTTATGGTAAATTGTTGTTGATTAACTGATCCCCATGATTCAAAGCCTTTTGGCAATGAAGAAGAGGAGCGTGCTATTCTTTTACAGTATTTTCAATTAATAGATATAAAGTCACTTTTTATCTTTTTTGATCTGTTGACTGAATTTTGCCACTAGAACTTAAAAGTGTAATGCGATTTCCCCCTCATCCACACCATCTTGCTGAATAGTTGGCCCTGCGCAGCTATATTACCCATTGTGGCCAATTAAAAGACTGACACCTAAGCTGCTGTCCACTCAAGCTTTCAAACCAAATTCCTGCAGCATTCTGATTTTGGAAAATGCGCATTAGTTGGTTGAGCAACCTTTTAAAAATGCCACATGTGAGCAAGGGCTAAATCCATAAAAGTTATGGGAGTAAAATTTCATCTCAAGTCTTAACTTTATTAACCACTTTCAAAACTGCACAGATCTTAATTACCTCATGGGTATAAGTGCGCACAGGAACTCCAAAAGCCCTTGCCAATCCAAAATCTGCTAATTTGATTGCACCAGCATCATTAATAAGCAAGTTTTGTGGTTTTAGATCTCGATGAAGGACTCTGTGAGAGTGACAGAACGCAACACCTTGTAGAAGCTGGAACAGATAACTCTGACAAAAAAGGTGTTTTGTTATGTAAACACTCAACATTCAGAAATAGATTATTCAAACGTTCATAACAGACAAATTGCATTTTTATCATCCTATCAATCCATCACAAATCTAAATAAATCCTACTGTGCTAGTTCATAATTGAGGTAACAAAACTTCTCCAATGGCTCCAGGATAAATGCATAATCTGTTCACAGAGGATGTTTTATTCCTGATGCCTGCAGACCTTAATGTCTTCTTTAAAATCTGATGCCTGTTTTAATTAGATCAATTAGGCAGTCCTCTTCTCCAAAGAAAAAGTGTGAAATTCCCTACAGTGTAGTCATTTTGATTCAGGCAATAATACTTGTGCCAATCGCGAAAACCAGCTTTTTATTAACTGAAACATCACAAACAAAAACATTCCAGGAGGTGGAATGATTGAATCGAATATTAAGTCTGAATGCTGTGAGTAAATTAATTGGAAGTTGGTACGATATTCTGGTTTCTGCAACTACCAGGCAGTTGGATAGAAGAACAAACAGTGCTTGAAAACGTCTTAATAGTAAAATAATACTTCTAAAAACCATCCCTAATGATACTGAGGCTGACTGTCATGAATTTATTGATTATAGCATTTTTTTGATGCTAGACATTGGGATAACTGGGCTATAGATTCCTGCTTTCTGATTCCCTCCTTTTCTGAATAGAGGTATGACATTTGTGGTGTTCCAATCGTTTGGGACATTTCCACAATCTAAATAAAAGGAGAAACTTAAAAACAAATGTATCCACTATCTCCACAGCCATTTTTCCAGATCCTAGGATGGAGTTCATCAGGTGCACGTACTTTGTCAGTCTTTGGGTGAATAAGATTTCTGTATTTATCCCTGGTGATAGTGATTGTTCTGAGTTCCTTCCTCCCTTTTGCCCCTTGATTTTCAATTATTCTTGGGATGTTTTTTGCGTTTCCTAAGATGAAAATCTCTGCAATTTCTTTGTTTCCTATTATTAATCCCAAGTTTCATTCTTAAAGGAAATAATGTTTGGCTACTCTCTTTTTATATGCTTGTAGAAGCTCTCTGACTGTTTTTTATATTTGCAGCAAGTCTACTTTAATATTCTAACTTCAGCCTCTGTGTATTCTTTTAATCATCTTTTGCTAGTTTAAGATTTTCCTAATCTTCTTGCACTCCCTCCAATCTTTGCAGCATTGACCAGCGGTAACAGAGGCAGATAGCCACATTATCTGAGTATAAATTAATGAGTGGTTTGAGCGCAAAGTCTCTCCTGCTTGGGCATTTGTGGTCAATGTGATTAGCTGGCAGCAAGGGCTGCCTCGATAAGAAAACCGCATCCTTCTTTTTAAATGATCCCTCCTTTGGACACCCAATTCCCATTGCAACCTCTGAACTACCTGACTGGACCCAATGAGCCTACCCAGTTTACCTGGCGTAAACCTGACTGCTCCTCCTCCAAGTGATAGCTGCAGTACTGGAAGAAGCCACCGCTCCTGGTGAAATTGCTGGTACTATTGAGCTTAGGTCTATGATTGATTAATAATTCTGAGAGGTGGAGGTGTAATATCCACCATGCAGGACCTGGGAAACCAAGAAGCTGATCAGGTGGGTGCCTGAATGCTTTCTAATTGTGTTCAGGCATTAGCGAATTGCAATGACAGTATTGCCAATGGCTCCCAGTGACTGAATTAGCCCGCCGCTGTGACAATTAAATCAAATACAAATCTGTACTGAGCAAGTTCCTTACAAAATAGAATTCAGTTGACATGCATGTTTGACATTTGCGTTAAAGCCAAATCAATGAGTGTTTATTTGTCATTGAAACCTAGAAAGACTAAGATGATGGAATATTAAAGTTGATGCAATAAAACTTTGACAACACTCATGCTTGGTCTGATAAACTGCAAAGAATATTCGTGCCACACATATGCCAAGCAATGATCATTTCCAATAAGAGAGTTTCTAACCACTTCCTCATGACATTCAATGGCATTAGCACTGTGGAATGTCCCACCAATATTCTGGAGATCATCATTGAACAGAAACTTAACTGGAACATCCTCATAAGGATTGTGGCTGCAACAGCAGGTCAGAGGCTGAGTACTCCACAGCAAATGACCCACGTCTTGAATTCCAAGGCCTTTTTATGATTTTCAAGGGACAAACCAGGGAATGCTCTCACTTACCTCAATGAAATGCAACTCTTACAACACCCAAAAAATTCAATACCATTCGGGACATCTGCTTATTGACACTATTTCAAACATTCAGTATCTTCTTCCTTGTTGAATTGTGTCTATAGTGAAGGCTATTGAAAGTGTGTTCATAACATGGACAACCAGATTGATTCTCAACCTACAAATCCTGGGGCTAAGAGCAGGAGAGTTTCATGGTCAGCCAGAACCATGTGGGAGCTGCAGTGCAATAACCTGTGTGTGTTAAAAGAACAATGCATAGGTTCTTGTCATCAGCTATACTCTGCGCCAAGTATCCTCTTCATTTCAAGGGACCACTGGACAAAGAAGAACCCATAAACCAGGTGTGCTACACCAAATTACCAAGGCTTCTTCATCTGAACACTACAAGATGACAGTCCCAGCTCCATTAATTTCTCTCGAAGTCACACATCATTTTGACTTGGAAATATATTGCCATTTCTTCATCATCACTGCGTCTAAGTCCTGGCACTACCTAACTAACAACCTTCATACAAGGACAGCACCAGTTCACAACATGGCTCACCATCACCTTTTCAAGGGTTACTAAGCCTGGGTAATAAATACTGCCCTTGTCAGTGATGCCATTTCACAAGAATAAAATAAAAATTCTAAAGTGTGGTGCCACAGAATGTTATGGTATGGGTTTATTCTCATAATTCTGTACATGTCAGATTCCATAATTTTACTCCTGATTTACAGCATCTGCAGTTTTTTCGATTTTTATTTAGTATTTAACTCACTGCCACATCTCTTCTAGGCATGCCCACCTTGAAGAAGTTCTGTTCCTCTCTCCGACAGGATTTCTATTCCAATCTTTGTCCTGGACCACCGACATTAATTTCACTGTCACTCCTGGTGTTTGACCAAGTATTTGGTAAAACTCGTTTCTACAGCCATATCACATTCCTCAGTGACTGCCTCCAGCTCAGCCTCACCCCACGTGGATTCCGACTGAAGTTTCATCCCTCATGTTTTGAATTCTCCCAGGATCACAGACATCTCTGTGACTTTCAATGTTCCACAGACAACTGCTTTCACCGCATCCTGAGATCCACACTCAGTACCATGCGCGTCACATGCACACTCTCGACTTTTTTCTCTAACACCATTGCAACATACTGGCTCAGAGTTGCACCACTCCGCAGTTCCACTTCGTCCTCCGGCTCATTTGTTGTGCTAACAAGAAACTTTTTATTTTCCTTTCAGGCATCAAGGCCCACAAAATGCAACAACTCAAAGATACCCACGGCCCTCTGGAACCTTCCCCTCCTCCCCTTCCCTCTCACTCCAATTCCTCCCCCAAAACCATCTCCTGTTGGGTATTCACCATCCTTCCTAAGCTTCTGCTCTCTGATGCTGAATGTTCTGTACTCAGCAAAGGCCTCAGCTTTATTCCTCTGCATCCCCCCCTTAACGAAATTCGGGCACGACATGATATCAAACTCTTCTTCCGCCGTCTTCCCCTCCGTGCCCATTTCTTTGGACACGAGTCCTCTCCCCATCCCACAGACCCCTTTGCCCAGTTCCAACATTCTCCCTCCACATGGAATCCTGCCTCTGGCCTTTTACCTGCACTCGATCTGTTCACTGAGAAATGTTGATGTGATATTGGTTGCCTCAATTTCTCTGCACCCCCCCTTCACCAAATTCAACCCATCTCCCTCCAAAGTGACTGCACTCAGTGCGCTTAGATCTAGCCCTGACATTGTTATTATGCCTGCCAATAAGGGTGGTGTTGTTGTCGTCTGGTGTACTGATCTCTACATTGCAGAGGCTTAGCGCCAGCTGTCAGATACCTCGTCCTATCTTCCCCTGGACCATGACCCCACCATGACACATCAGGCCATTGTATCTACGGTAACTGATCTCATTTCATCTGGTGACCTCCCCCCGGCTCTGCCTTCAAGCTGATAGTCCCCTGGCCCCGCACAGCTCGTTTCTACCTCCTTCCAAAAATCCACAAAGAGGGCTGTCTGGGCAGACCCATTGTTTCAGCCTGCTCCTGCCCCACAGAACTCATCTCTTCCTACATTGACTCAGTCTTCTCTCCCCAGTCCAATCCCTGCTCGCATTTATCCGTGATTCCTCTAACGCTTTACGCCAGTTTCAACATTTCCAGTTTGCAGGTTCCTGTCATCTCCTCTTTGTCATGGACATGCAATCCCTTTACACGTCTACTCCCCACAGGAGGGTTTTAGGGCTCTCCGCTTCTTTCTGAAGCAAAGACCTGAACCATCCCCACCCACCACCACCTTCCTCTGCTTGGCCGAGCTCGTCCTCACCCTCAACAACTTCCCTTTTAACTCCTCTCACTTTCTTCGGGTCAGAGGGGTGGTCATGGATAGCCGCATGGGCCTCAGTTATGCCTGTGTCTTTTTGTGGGGGACATGGAACATTCCTTGTTCCAGTCCTATTCCGGCCCCGTCCCACAACTCTTTCTCCGATATATCGATGATATCATCAGTGCTGCTTCCCTCTCTTGTCCAGATTTGGAATAGTTCATTGATTTTGCTTCCAATTTCCACCCTGCCCTCACTGGTCTATCGCTGACTCCTCACTTCCCTTCCTCAACATATCTGTTTCCATTTTTGGGGATAGACTTGCCTCTAATATCCACTGTAAACCCACTGACTCCCACAGTTACCTGGATTATACATCCTCACACCCTGCTTCCTGTAAAGACTCCATCCCATTCTCTCAGTTCCTCCATCTCTGTCACATATGTTCAGATCAGGCCAACTTTGACAAGGGAGCCTCCGAAATGTCCACCTTCTTCCTCAATCGAGGATTCCCCAACACCGTTGTCGACAGGGCCCTCAACAGGTCCAACACATCTCCCACAATTCCGCCCTCACCCCTCTCTTCCTTCCCGCAACACAGATAGGGTTCCCCTTGTCCTTACCTACCACCCCACCAGCATCCACATCCAGAAGATCATCAGACACCATTTCCGCCCCCTCCAGCCAGATGCCACTACCAGACACATATTCCCCTCCCCTCCCTTGTCTGCCTTCTACAGGGACTGTTCCCTCCGGGACACCCAGGTCCACTCTTCCTTCACTCCCAACATCCCCCCAGAGCCCCATGGCACCCTCCCCTGCAACCAGCGAAGGTGCAACACCTGCACATTTACCTCCTCCCTCCCCCCTATTCAAGGGCCCAAACATACCTTCCAGACGAAGCAACACTTTACCTGAACTTCCCAGAATCCAGTCAACTGTATTTGCTGCTCATGATGTGGTCTCCTCTACCTTGGGGAAATGAAGTGTAGACTGGGTGACTGCTTCGCAGAACATCTACGTTCTGCTCTTCTCTCTCTACGGGCTCTAACCTTTACCCTATTGTTTACTGCCTAACCCATTCCCCTCCCTATTTTCTGCATATAAACCAATGTTTTCCCAGCTACCATCAGTTCTGAGGAAGGGTCACTGGTCCCGAAACATTAACTCGGATTTTTTCTTCACAGATGCTGCCAGACCTGCTGAGCTTTTCCAGCAACTTGTGTTTTTGTTCCACAATTTTATTCATTCTTGTGACTGTGCCAATAGTGAGGCACAACAGTGTTAGAATAAAAGCAATCAAAACATCTCTGTGTTTGTACTTCTGTTTGTGGTTGACTTAAGCTTCAAATTAGCAAAAGCTTGGGAAAATATTAACTGCATGTCTTCCCAGAATGAAAATGGTGCCAGGTTTGAATCACAAAGAAGGGTTGGTGGGGAGAAGTTAGTCAAAAATGGGTAGAATTGGCATTTGGGTGATGAAAGTCTGCATGACATTCCAAGCCTGTGTAAATTATGTCAAGATAACTTTAATTCTTAATTACCTTAACTAATTGCAAAGGGAGTCCAGTAGGAGGAGCAGAGTCCATATACTTCTTCAGATCTTGATTCAGAAACTCAAACACTAGGTACAATTTCTTTTCACTGTGGATAACATCTAACAGTCTAAGACAAGAGTACACATATTAATCATGACTGCTTTTTACAATACTATGCTTTAGTAGATTCAAATTCATGTTATTGCAAATGTCAAATGAAAAGTAGAAATTTATCATGATCTCAGTCTCCAATCAAAAAGTCTAAACACTAGCAAATTTTAGAATTGCACCATGGAACAAATTGTATCATCCAACAATTAGCTTCTCTTGAATCCTGTCATACCTTCTTTATTTTATTCTATTTATTTTTATTTTATTTTGTTTTATTCTGACAATTAAAGAATATATGGAAACTTCACTGAAAATAGACCTTTCCCCATCCATGCTAAGGTATCTTTCCTTCTTTCCTGAAGTCACTAGCTCATCTCATAGTATAGAACCAAATATGTCAGCAACATCCTGATTAGTAACCAGTCAATACAATACCATAGAACGTGTATCATCAAGGTCCGTCATCTAGTGCATCAGAGCCAAATATGGTCCTGTTCTTAACTTGTGTCCACAAAAACAAATGTTCTGGATAAATTTAATGTGAATTGACCAAAAGCAGGAACTCTGAAACAAAAACAGAAATTGCTGGAGAAACTCACAGGTCTGGCAGTGTCTACATATACAAAGCACAGTTAATGTTTTGGTTTCAGTGAACTTTCATTGGAACTAGGTGTTCTAATGAAGAGTCACTGGACCTGAAACATTGATGGTGCTTTCGCTCCACAGATGCTGCCAAAATTGCTGAGTTTCTCCAGCAATTTCTGTTTTTGTTTCAGATTTCTAGCATCCACAGTTCTTGGTTTTATATCAGGAATTTTAGGTTAATTTCTCCAGAATGCTAGTCTTGCAGTCAATATATTCTGATCTGCTCACCAGCATCATTTAAACATATGGTCTGAATTAAAGATCTACTGTGTACAATGGGGGATCTTTTGACTGCAAAACTAACCAACTGCTTTATTTCTTGAGTCTTATTTTCAAACCATGCTAACAATACTTTGCTGCTCCCATAAGTTTGTTATCAACAAAGTTTGACTAGATTTAATAATTTGAAAGAGATGCCTTTGACTTCTGATGTTGTCTAAACAGCAATATGTGTTAATAATGGATTGTTCAGCAAATAATAAACTCCCATAACTTGCAGTCAAACATACAAAAAATATTTAACAAACAGTAAGTGAAAAAGCTTACAATTTGTTAAACTTTTACAAAAGCCAGTTCTGAGCTATTTGTATTTCCTTGTTGCACAGAACATTGCCTAATCAGACTGAAATACAAAAATAACTTTTCTTACTTCACAATATTTGGATGATTTAATTCTTTTAACAAAGATATCTCCCGTATAGCAGTACTTGGCACGCCTTCCATTTCACTATAAAATATAACAACATATTGAAAATATGAGCACATCATTGTCAGTTTCAAATTCTGGTTTATGGCTGTGATCTTCAGCAACAGTTCATTTGTCTTTTTGTATACCCTTTACTTAAAAAGAAAATGGCTAAGTATTGAAGGGAAATAAACTTGCAGGGTAACAGGGATATAGCCAGTTAATGGGACTGACTAGATTTGTCTTTAGATTTGGGATGGCACGGCAGCACAGTGGTTAGCACTGCTGCCTCACAGCACTAGGGACCCAGGTTCAATTCCACCCTTGGGCAACTGTCTGTGCAGAGTTTGCACATTCTCCCTGTGTCTGCGTGGGTTTCCTCTAGGTGCTCTGGTTTCCTCCCACAGTCCAAAGATGTGCAGGTTAGGTGGATTGGCTATGCTAAATTGCCCATAGTCCTCAGGGAGGGTGGGTTATAGGGGAATGGGTCTGGATGGGATGCTCTGGGGTTCAGCATGGACTTGTTGGGTTGAAGGGCCTGTTTCCACACTGTAGGGATTCTATGATAGAGAACTTGCAAGAATTTAATAATCTGAATGTCCTTCTCTGTGCTATTACAATTCTATTTGAAATTCAGACTTCAAATGTTCTTATGATTTACCCAATAAGCAGTTCAATGTAATCTAATGATTAATTTCCCAACTTCTTAATTATATTAACATCGGTTGAAACTTCCAATATGTTACAAAGATCAACCTGAATAGTGAGAAAAATCAAAAAGTCATACAGCACGGCAACAGACCCTTTGGTCTAATTAGTCCACGCTGGCCATGTTCCCAAACTAAATAGTCCAACATGCCTACATTTGGCCCATATCCCTCCAAACATTTCCTATTCATGTAGTTATCCAAATGTCTTTTAAAAGTTGTAACTGTAACTGCATCTACCACTTCCTCTGGCAGTTCATTCCACATACTAAACTCTCGCTGTGTAAAAAAGTTGCCCTTCATGTCCTTTATAAATCTTTATCCTCTCACCTTAAAAAGATGCCTCCTAGTTTTGAACTCCCCCACTTTAGGGAAAAGACCTTTGCCATTCACCTTACCTATGCCCTTCGTGATTTTATAAACCTCTGCAAGGTCACCCCTCAACCTCCTAAGCTCCAGTGAAAAAAGGCCCCACCCTATCCAGCCTATTTTTATAAGTCAAACCGTCTACTCCTGGCAGCGTCCTGGTAAATCTTTTCTGAACCTCCTCCCCTTTAATAGTGTCCTTCCTATACCAGGGCAATCAAACTGTACATAGTACTCCAGAAGAGGCCTCACCAACCTCAACATGACATCCCAACTCCTACACTCAAAGTGTGCTAAACGCCTTCTTAACCACCGTGTGTACCTGTGAAACAAATTTCAAAGAATTATGTACCTGAACCCCTAGGTCTCTGTGTTCTACAACACACCCAGGGATGAACATGATAACAGAATAAAATTATTCGATTCTCTCAACAGTTGCACAGTTTTTGTTAAGGTAATGGCACTTAAGGTAATCATGGTGTACCATTCAGTTTAAATTGCCTATTCTCAATCTTTCTTCCAAAATGGCTTTCCATGCTTCTCAAACTTGCAGTGTATCTGTTATTTTCTGCAGTCTATGTCCTCCTGAAGTTTGCTATTTTCTTCCTCACTATTTACTATATTTGCAACCTGTGTGTCATCTGAAAACGTTAAATTATACCCAGATTATTAATACATATTAAAAGAGCAGTGATCTGAATACTGATACCTAAAGGATACCACAATATATTTCCCTTGAATCTGTAAAATATCCATTCACCACCATTTCCTGTTTTCTGTCCAATAGCCAATATTGTATCAACGCTGTGACTGCCACAGCTTGTTAAACCAATGGGACATCTTATTAAATCCACATACATAACATCAACAGGACTAATTTCATCAACTCAATCATGTTTGCCAGCTTTTGTCTTCAACAATGCCATGTAGGTTTCATTTATTATCTCATGATTTTCCAAGTGAAAATTAATTCTATCGTAGATCATGGTTTCTATATTTCCCCCCACCGCCACAAGATTGACATTTGATGACTGGCTCATGATTGCTTGATTTTGTTTTTATTTTCAGAGATGTAATACATTCAACCCTTCATTGATCTGTGACTACACCACTATTGAAGGAGGATTGAAAGATTGTGACCAGAATCTCATATTTCTACCCTTGCTTCTCTCATCAACCCAAGATCATAAAATCACAGAATCCCTAAAGTGTGGAAACAGGCCCTTCGGCCCAACAAGTCCACACTGAACCTCAGAGCATCCCACGCAGACTCATCCCCCTATAACCCACCTAATCTAGGGCAATTTAGCATGGCCAATTCACCTAACCTGCACATCTTTGGACTGTGGGCAGAAACCGGAGCATGCGGAGGAAACCCACACAGACACGGGGAGAATGTGCAAACTCCACACAGACAGTCGCCCAAAGCTGGAATCAAACCCGGGTCCCTGGCACTGTGGGGCAGCAGTGCTAACCACTGAGCCACCGTGCCGCCCACTATGTATCCATTATGGCTGGATGATGACTAATTTGAGCCGTTCCAATCGTTTATTTATTTCTATCTATTTTCCTCCAATCCAATTTCTCTACCATACCAAGCTTCTTCTTTACTGTAACATTAGCAACATCTTAATTCATGAACATGGAGCCAGAGTCTCATTCAGTTAGTGATCTATGCCTACTGTTTCCACAAATTTCCTTTTTCGTACCTAATTGGTCCCATTGTTCCTCTGACTATTCTTTTCTTCATTCTTAAGACTTTAGTAGTTCCTTTTATGTTACTTGTAGTACAGATTGACCTGCTTTGATGAGCTAGCATGTCATCGCACATCTGGAGTCAAAAACAAGTGCAGTCTGCAGTTGAAGCTGACGGGGGACAACTGCCTCTTTAATACTGATATATTTCACCATATTTCGAAGTCATTAATACCAACATAATTTTTACATCATATTTTTATTTAATCTTACTTTCATGGTTCAATAGAAATAATTATGCTAGATTAATCAGTAAAGTTGTTAGAAAATAGGATGTTCTATGCAGCACAAGCAGAGGAGCTAGCAGATGCAAAACTTAGTTTTGAAGAAGGGTCACTTTACTTGAACGTTAGCACTGTTTCTCTTCTCAGATGCTGATTTTTCCAGCAATTTCTGTTTTTGTTTGAAACAAAACTTAGGTTCAACAGTGACTCCAATGGCAGGAGTATGTAATTACAGTGTAACAAGTTTGCAAGGTAGGTCCATTATAAATTGGATACAACTTATAATAATAGCTAACAGAACAGTAAATGCTGGGAGTTAAAGAAGGTAAAATTGCAGCATGTCAGTATTTTCTCATTAACCGATGCACATTTCAAGGCCTGCTAGCCCAGTGGGACAGGCAGATGTGAATAAGGATACCAAAAGGCAATTAACTGAAGTCATAAACCTGCATTTTGGGTCAAACTGCATAGCACAGGGCTTTCTTAGGCTATCTGAAACTCACCAGGGAAGTGCAGTGCAAGAATCAACCGGGCTATGAAATTCAGATTGGAAAGCCTTCAAATATTGAGCCAAGTTAAAAGCTTTTGCTCACAGGTTTTGCTCAGAGTGTAATTTCACTGCTTTAGAGATAACTTTCAAGACCTTAGGTTATTTCAGACATTTCTTTTACTTTATTTGTACTTCCTAGCTGTTGGCCTTCTCAGTACCATGGGAGCAGCTTCTGCAGCTCTAGTGTGGACTTCTGATTAGGAACTGGTTGAGCAGTACTGACACCAAAATCATCACCATCAGGGCTCACTGAGGATACAAATGAACACAGAGTTTAAACTCACTGAAGGCAATATCCCCAACACAATGTGCACTGACTGAAGGTCAGCTTTCTGGATATGTCTAGGCAATTGTGCCTCAGGAGGCTCAGACTTTCTTGAAAGTTTGTGCCGAAATCTGCTGTCACCTGGAGGAAGATATCATGCACAGTTTGCCAGATTATGGTTAAGATCACAACAATGCTGCATTTCTTTGCTTCTGGCTCCTTTCAGGGATCTGCAGGTGTCTCTTGTAAGATTTCATAATCTGCTACGCACATGGGCATTTCCTACATAAGCAATGCCACGTTTTGTAGGGAAGCCATTTATGTTCAATTTGCAACTGATAAAACCATTCAAAATAAGAGAGCCTTCAGATTCACTGTAAAAATTCATCAAATTGATTGCAGGGAGTCACACATTACATTAATGTGACAATCAAGGTGACCGAAGATCAAGTAGCAGGACATAAGAATTCACCCCATTAAAACAACTGGTGTGCAACAGTCAAACCACATGCCAGGGGTGGGCAAATTCATCTCTGAAAGTCACCAAAACTCCCAGGAAAATTCAATCATGGTAACAACCAATCAGAGAAAGGTGGTAGAATGGACAGAATCTTTGATGAGCTTATCAGCAGCAAACATATGAAATAAGCAGCCTGTAACTGAAGCAGCAGTGAGAAGTTAAGGAGCAACAGTCAGGAAGGCTGGAAATAGTGGGGCAGTCACAATCCAGAGGTAGCTGGGGTGGAATATGAAGCAGAGCTAGCAGGCCAGGAGGATGTAAAGCCACAAAGTTGGGAAATTGAATGCAAAGGGAGACAGGAGTTACAAAGGAGGGAAGATGGGCTGCAAAGGGTGGAAGGACTGTAAAGCAGGAGAGGGGTTGCTAAGAGGAAAGAGTATTTAGATATTTCTCAAAAGCCAAATGGGAGCCAACAAAACTTAGGTAATGAATTATTTGCAGATGAAGGTGAAATCTATAGCCAATGGCTACAGGAGTTCAGAAGCTACTAGACGGAGGAAAATGTAGTGTACGCTATTGTAATGAATGCTGTGTTAACTAGATAATTTAATATTGAACAGTTTTATTTTATGAAGATTTCAATTAATGTGTTATTAGATCTCAAAGCATCACACATAATGTGTATCACTTGAGATGTAATGCCTGTTGGAGACAAACATGCAACAGATTAATTATGACCTCACAGAAACTGTGTTTAGGGAGGTGACTTCTTAATCGATAGAAGTGTGTGTTGGTTTTCTTTTTAAAAAACATCTATTGCACACCTTTGCACAGATCAGAATTTTTTAGAAGGTTCAAAATTAAATCCACTGGATGTCCAATGAGATTTGGGGATTCAGGTGCATGGGTCTTTAAAATGGCCTGAACAGATACAGAAAATGGTCAACAACAAAAACAAAGTTGCTGGAAAAGCTCAGCAGGTCTGGCAGCATCTGTGGAGGAGAAAACAGAGTTAACGTGGGAGGAGAAAACAGAGTTAACGTTTCGGGTCTGGTGACCCTTCCTCAGTTCTGACCTGCTGAGCTTTTCCAGCAACTTTCTTTTTGTTCCTGATTTACAGCATCCACAGTTCTTTTGGTTTTTACAGAAAATGGTCAATAAGGCTAATGGATTGCTGGCCTTCATATCTAAAGGGCCACAGTATAAGGGTGCAGATGTTATGCTGCAGTTATACAAAACTCTGGTTAGACCCTTCTTGGAGTAAGGTGGGATTGACTCTTGCATGTAAATAATCACTAAAAGCATACCTAAAATACTAAATAATCAAGGGGCAATAGTGGGGGAGAAAATAAATGCAGGGATTATCACTAGAGAAAAATTACTAGGGAAAATACTGAGGCTAAAAGCAGATAAGTCCCCTGCACCTGATGAGTTGTGTCCTAGGATATTAAAAGAAGTAGCTAAAGAGATTCCAAGAATCCTTAGCTTCTGGAAAAGTCCCAAAGGATTGGAAACTAAAAGGGAGATAAAAAACAGGTTCAGTTAGCTTAAAATCTGTCATTTAAAACATATTACAGTCTATTATAAATGATGTACTTGCAGAATATTTAAAAATGCATAATGGAATCAAGTAGATTCAACATGGCTTCATCTGAATGGAAATCATGCCTGTCAAATTTATTATAATTCTTTGAGGAGGTTACAAACTGGAAGATAAAGGGGAACCAATAGGTTGGGTTGTAAACATTGGAGTTTAGAATGAGAAGTGAAACATATAGATTTCGTAGAGGGTTTTGCAGTATAGATGCTGAGAGGTTGTTTCTCTTTATGGGAGAGTCTAGGACTAAGGGCATAATTTCAGAGTAAGAGGTTGCACATTTAAGACAGAAACATGGAGGAATTTCTTCTTTCAGAGGGTGGTGAATTTACAGAGATCATTACCACAGAGAACTGTAGAGGTTGTGTCACTAAGTATGTTCAAAGCTCAAATTGTTGGATTTTTAAATCAGTAAGAGAGTCAAGGGTTCTCGTCAGAAGGCAGGAAAATGGAGTTGAAGATTATCAGATCAACTATGATCTTATTGAATAGTGAAGCAATCAGTGGGTTTCTCTGCATATCTTAAGGTCTTAAGGACAAGTTTATAAGAGATTGAATCATTGTACATTTTCGGACAAGAAATTGTCAGATATCCTTCAATCTAAAGAGGAATTCGCTCTAGAACAAGCGCTCAAAAAGGCTACTCAAGCAGAGAATAAAACAGGTGAAAGCTCAGTTGTACAGAAAGATTAAAAAGTGTGGTCATTTTCACAGGTGATGTCCTGAATACCATTGTGTTAGTTCTTAGCAACAATTTCCAAACTAAATGGAGAACTAAGTTTTTTTGTGAATCTCATTCAATTAAACAAAGGAGTCTGAAGAGATGTCCATCCAGTTTTATGTTGTTGACAGTTTGATCAAATTAGCAAAAGCAAGTTCTTTACAAAATTAGAGACAAACAGTAGATTTTTGAAGTTGCCCCTAGACGATGAGTCAAGATTTCTGACTGCATTCATCACGCTATTTGGATGATTTTACATTGAACTTTTGACATTTTGGAACTTCACCTGCACAAAAAAATCTTTCATAGAGTAACGTCACAGACTCTTGAGAGAAAATGAGCAACGATTTGTCAATTGGGCGATTTCCTAGGACACGATCAGTCAAAAAAGATCCATGACCACAAAGTTGTAGAAATATTAAGAACATTACAGAATGCAGGCCTCGTATTCAATGGGAAACATCAATTCTCAAAGACAACAATTACATTTTTGGGACATATAATCTAGAGCTATGAATCAATGTGGATCCCAGAAAGACTAGGGACATAAGAAAACTTTCAACACAAAGTACATACAAACAATTCTTCTTAGGCATGGTGAATGAAGTTGGAACGTTCATCCTACTGAACCATGGAAGTTTTGAAGAAAGAACAACAATGGTCTGAAGTCAGGAACAGACTGCAGCTTTTCAAAAGATTAAGGAGGAGCTACTCTCCATAGAAGTATCAGTTCACTTAAATCCAGGCTTATTTACCAAAGCAGCTGCAGATGCATCATCCACAAGACTAGGTGCAGTTCTCGTCAGATAATGGAACTAGGAAACGTCTGTACATCAGAAACAAAAACAGAAGTTGCTGAAAAGCTCAGCAGTTCTGGCAGCATCTATGAAGAAAAAATCAGAGTTAACGTTTCGAGTCCAGTGTCCCTTCCTCAGAAGGGTCAGTTCTGAGGAAGGGTCACCAGACCCGAAATGTTAACTCTGATTTTTTTCTTCACAAATGGTGCCAGACCTGCTGAGCATTTCCAGCAATTTCTGTTTTTGCTCCTGATTTACAGCATCCACAGTTCTTTTGGTTTTTATTTAGTAACCTCTATACATCAATTGCATTGATGGAATCTGAATGAAGATATGCACAATAGAAAAAGAAGCTTGGCTAATCCATGTGGACGTGAAAATTAGTTGCTGATCTCATGGAATTCAGCTTCCGAGTCAAAACAGATCGTATGCTACTAATTGCATTATTAGAATCAAAAGATCGCAAAAAATGCAATTGTGATTACAGAAATTCAGGCTAAAACTAATGAGGTGCAAACAATGATTTAATAAGTCTGCATTCTGGGTAAGGCATAAATTATATATGATACACTACACAGGGAAACGCTCAATTAGGGTGACAGGAAGACCGAATCCTCATTGAAGAAGTAAACTCATTTCACTATCACCCACTGAGGAAAAACTCAGAAATTTGTGCAACTCAAAAAAAAAGAGCGTAACAGTCAGCATGGTGCAACCAAAAAGTGCAAACAGAACCATTACTTTCCTCAAAAGTTACAGAAAGGCTATGGGAGAGGCAGCAATAGATTTATTTGAGTTTGAAGACATTTAGTCCTGGTAGACCTACTTCAAGAAGGATTGAAATTTCAAGACTTCACGCAATTACAGCACAGTCAGTGATTAAAGCACTAAAACAGGTTTTTTGCAGTTCCCCAGATAAATAGATTTCAATTTGTGAATGAAGAATTCAGAAAGTTCACAACAGAGGTGGGTATCAACCAAGTGACATATTCTCAATTTCATACTTAGTCAAATAGAGAAGTGGAAGGGCAGATAAGACCATAAAGTCACTAATGTCCAAGAATGCAGACTGGGACTTAGTATCACTCAGCTACAGAACAACTCTTAAATAATGGATATTCACTTGCAGAGTTATTCATAGGAAGAAGAAATATCATTGTTAAAGTGCAATCTCAAGCCAAATACAACTTCTCCAGACTACCAGAAGGTCAAGGAGAGAGAAAAAAAATCACCACAAAAGAAAGCAGCAGAAGTGGTATAACTTGAGACGCAAGGCAAAAACACTGTCTACTTTGAATGCAGATCAGGTTTGGATAAGAGACAAACAAGAGGTAGAAGCAACAGGCCTGGAAGGAACACATCAAACGAGATCATATATACAGAAAGCTTGACGGAACACTTAGGGAACAGCAAGGCATAGATCTTATTTGAGCCAAAATATGAGAACAAGTATGATATTACAGGATGTGGGCAGAGATATCATCACTTGTAACAGCATTTGCAACAAATAAACAAGAGTTTTCCAAAATATGTGACACTGATATTTCTTTAAACGGGCTGTTCTTTAATGAGTCTTTCCGTTACATGGTTAGATGGCAGTTCATAATAAAAAGGTGCTAACAGAATGATGAATGCCCGGAAATAATTAGCAAGCAGCAATTGGACTAAGTAATTCATATTAAAATCATTGATAGCAAAACTTCATTCAAATTATCTATGGTATTAAAATTGGAATATCAACTTAATATATTCGTTTGTATTTATTGCTTGCTGTTAGAATTGTTATTCTGCTCTGCTTTCATCCGAATTATGTTAACAATGTTTATACAGCATGTGTATTATTTCCATTTTCAAATCTAATTTATTGCTGTACGCGTACCCCGCTAGCCATGGTAATAACTGTAACGAACCTGTTGTATAGATCTGTACATTTCTTTGAGATGAAACTTGCAAATTTCCGACAAATTACGAGCGAAGTTTGATTTTACGCAACTGACATTTCATGAAAAATTATACTTATGCTAAGCTTAAAATGGAGACCTTTCATATAAAATGTCATTCAGTGGATGTACGCTGCTATAACATGAATGTGTATATACAAGCATCTTCAGATGACAATTAATAATCTACTTTTTCCAGCACCATTTTCCTTGGATTTAGGTACAGTAAAACATCCCAATCATATATTACTGTCATCAAAGACAGACGAGCATTGTCATTGTGCGTGTGTGTGCCTTTCTGATTTATAATGTAACATTTCAAAACTTAAGTGCGGCCATCACATAGCCACATAAGACACAGGAGCTTTGCATCAGCAGGAAGTACTGGAGTCGACACTTCACAGAAGTCACCTGTCAGCGAGTTTTTTTTTATTAGTTTTCGCTTTGCTAATGATCATAACTCACGCGTCCAGTCTTATTTTTTTCAGTGCCACCATCTCTCCTGTGACTTTATTCATTGCTTTGTAGACCACTCCATAGGTACCCTCACCGATCTTCTCCACCTTCTGGAAGTTGTCCATGGTTCCGCCACCGCTGCTGTTCTCAACAACGGCGAGGACTAGCCACCAGCGCGCGCTGCTCGCCTCCTCCCATCCGAATCCCAACGGCCATTCTCCCTCCCGCGCGCTGCTAATCTGCCCGGAGACATTCCGCCTTTTCCCGCCCTTTCCCCGCCGACCGCGCAATCTATTGGCTCGGTGTGACGGCAACGTAGTGACACCAGCCAGGTCCCCCATCACTTTGAAGTTCGCATCGTCTCATCACCCGGCTTCATACCACAAGTTTGGAAGGTGGATAAGGTACTGCGAAGGGAAAAGGCGGGGTAGAAAGGAAGGGAGGGAGGGGCGTACGCTGTTTGGCAATTAGTGAGTTTGTACAGTCCGAACGCATCGGACCCCTCAAGACGTTTAAGAACTATTTAGATGAACAGGCGAAACGTTATAAGCATTCGAGGCTGCGGGCGAAGTGCTGGCAGGTGAGCATAGAGTACATGAATGTTTGGTGACCACCGTGGCTATGCTGGCCTCTTTCCGTGCTGGAGAAAATAAAAACATTTTTTCAGTGCTGGAAAGGGGAGAATAACATGAATCGGTTGGTTAGAAAAAATTAAATTAAAAAACGACGGAAGCTCCAAGAGCACATCCGGATAATAAAACAAGGAACTGCGGGGTGCTGGAGAGCTGAAACAAAGACAGAAAACCAGCAAGTCTGGCAGCATCTGTTGGAAGAAAATAAAGTTACCGTTTCGAGTCTGGTGATTCATCAGATGAATGGCATTGAGAACACAGGCAACAGAGCTTAAAGGTGTAATATATAGGAGACCAGCAGTACATTGGAAGAGTCCTGCCTAAAGGCAACACAAGTATAGTTTCGACAGATGAGTTGAGGCAAGCGTGCACTCGGGTGTTGTTATGGTGATGGAAATAGGCAGACTTTAGTGATATCCCAAACATGTTTGTAGTCTGGTTTTGTTTCAGACAGTTCATAACTAGGGAATGGAGACAATATCTCCGGGTTTTCTGCTATTCAGCTGAAAGGAAGTTTTAGCTTATTCAGTAATCGTCAGGATTGTTGCATAAAGAATGAAACAGCAGGCAGATGCAAAAAAAACCCTGGATTTAAAATCAGGATATTCTCCCCTGCCCAAACTACATTTATTCCTCTACACTACTCAAGCCGGATTATCTGGTGGTCTTGTTGGTGCCTGCAAACTTGTCACTATTTCCTACATTACAACAGTACCATACTTAAAAATACTTCATTATTTACATTTGCATCATGAAAGGTGCTACTTAGATACAGATTTTTTTTTAATTTGCATGACCATCTTAAAATAAATAGAAACTAATATGGTCTACAAAGGAGTTTGTTCAAATGGGGACAACTACATTATCTTTATGGGCAAATTCCAGCATTTTTAAAATCCTCTTATTCTTCCTTTTTTGGGGACTGTAAGTGTGCAAGATTGGAATTTAGCAGGTAAATGACCAAAAAAAATCTGAAGTATTCTAATATGTTTATATTGAGAAACAGTTTTCAATAACCAATTCAGGATTAAAAACAAATCAAAAACTGCAGTGGCAAGTTCTGTGTTGCCACCTGAGGATAGAGTAATGTAGTCAATTTCAGATTACCACTTATAAGGTACCTTGAAACTGGCAGTTGTCAGCTATAACACAGCTGACAGGATCTGTACTTCTTACACATGCAGACTTTTGCTTTTGGGTGCCAAATTTTGAATGTCAATTGCCCTTTTTCCCCCATAATAAATCTGTTTAACTTGATGAAAACAGTCTAAATCTGATCAGTGGCAGAATCAAGAAAATTCCACACCTATTAACTAAATGTCAACAAGAAAATTTCACCAAAAAAAAAAGCTGTCCACCAACATAATTACAATTTGTTGGAAATTTTCAGCACTATTACACTACCAAATATGCATCGCAGCAAGTGACTTAAACTCTTGAACTATTGCAATGTGGTATTATTGGTATTACAATTGTTTTGATTATAAAAGTGAATTCTTTGAAATGCAAGTACACAAATTACATCTATCAAATTTTAGTTTACATTTTTCTCTCATTCTCTCACAGTCCAATTCTATTCCAAGGCAGTTTCAATAGGAAATCAAACTTTCATTACACCTGTATATACTATCTACATATTTGATAATAGCTTGAACTGATTCTAAAGTGAAACTCTTTCCTGGAATCTTTCTGCTTCATTCTGGTGTCACATCAAGCCACAACAATAGATCTGGCTGTATTAACATTACAGATTCACTTGGATGACTGCAACATATACAAAAGCACTAGGTAGATCAGGATTTACTGATAGAGAGTCAGGACTCTGTATTCTTTAGTCCGTACATACCAAGTAGGACCAAATGGTATAAATCTAATTTGCGGATATTTAAGGCAATCTTTGTTTTTTTGCATATATAGTTATTTGTTCCTGACAGATGGTTACCTGCTTTCATAACAAGCGGCAGCAAGTTGTACTTTCCTTCCTTATCTCAGGTTTAAGCGATTCCTCACTCAATCACAAGTTATATGGTACAGTTTAAATTAGTGCATCTCAAATTTTTTTCAGTGACCCCTTTTCAATGGCTAAACATTGCTGTAAATCAGGCCTAAAAAAGAACAGTTATGGTATTAAAAGAATTCGGTATTAAAAAAAGTGAAGAATTACAGGGACCATGCAGCTGTAAGCACTCAGTTGGAGCTTGAGACCCCTAAAATGTTGACTGAACCCACAATTTGAGACGCTTTGCCTTAGACTGACTTCTTTATAAAATGTGAGTGGCAATACCGAAGAGCTATGAATTAAGCATCTTGTTGTAAAAAAAAAATTCTGACCCTTGCTTTCAATTATAGATACATCTGTTTCCCACCCCACCCCTAAAAGAGTTCTTGTATAATCTGTATGTTCATAAAACAGCTTAGTACAAATAAGTTTGTAATTTACTTTTACTAACTGAGCTACACTAAAATGGTAATGATTAGCATTTACATTTGCAGCCAGTGTATCCGACTAGATCATCTTGTTAAATATGAACACTCACGTATTTTATGCACAATAGAAAGTGCCCGGAACAAAACAAAGCAAAATGTATAGGTTTGTTCATAAGTATATGTAAAAGACCATTTGTATTGTGTATACAGCCTCTCAATTTAGTGTTGGTATATTCACTGTAGGGACATCAAAAGCAACCCAAATATCTGCAGATCACCCAATTTTCTGCACAACTTTTACGGAGACGTTTAAAAAAAAAAAGTTGCAAAATGTTCTACTTTTCATTGTGAAAATGTTAGCTTCTCAAAAATGCCTCAACTAAATCTTTTATTTAGCTATATATACAAAAAATGTTCAATTTTAGAAGAATGTCTGCTTTTCACATCAAACCTTTTCGAATTAAAATTTTGTTGCATTTTTGTTTGGTACTTTGAAGTAATGAGAAAAACAAACAATCAAACCTTGAATAGTAGAAGTTAAGAAAACAATTAACTCAATTTGGAAGTGCACAAATACAATTTTTGAAAAACATTGAACAGCAACAGAGCGCTCTGCTGATCTAGTAGCAGATCAAGATTTTGCAATCCTGGACTATGAAAACAGGATGCTAAAAACAATTGCTTGCTTGTATGTTTCAATTAAGTGGACAGATACTGTTTTGTTTAAGGTTTACATAATAAGTGAAGCATTACATGAAAATACAGTTAAACTGTATTCATCCTTGTGTGCAGTGCACCTGGTCCTTTAATGCAATGCTATATCCAAACTAAAGTTTGACTGAAAGATCTTTCTAACCCAACTATAGCGTTGAAATGTGCAATCTGTACAATTGTCATTTTCTCATTTTTTTTAAGAGTAGGTACAGTTGAGAAAATAATATTAATTGCAGCTTTAAAAAATCCTCAGTATCTGTAGAGATCAAGTTAATCAGCATTCTTCTAATCTATTAGAAGAACTATGCTAGACTCCACCATGTTTCACACATTCAACATTTTTTGTTGAATTTAATTTGAAACAATTGACTTCAGTACTCCAAGTCTTCAATTGAAACAACAAAATACAAAAAATGAAATACATAGGTCCTGCTGTCTACAGCAGGATGCATTTTCCTCCCCAGTCAATTTTAGCTGATGAGTTGCACCTTATAACAATGTTGTTTACTGTTTAACTTTCAATTTGACAATGTACTGTACAGAGTGTCATTTTCAAACTGTGCCATCCTTTCAAAATTTCAATGTCAATTTATAGCGAGTGACAAATTAAAATCAAATGGTAATTTTGTTCAAATCTATATGGTGTATTCTTCATATTCAGATATTACAGAGACCAAATTGCTTTGACCATTGGAGCAATATTTGGCCCCCTCATATCTCAAAAATAACAGAACACAAATTTTAAGTACTTCTGAATAATTTTTACAAAGTTGGACACTGCACTGAAATCAATACACTTGTTTCTTGAGAAAAAATTAAACCACCATAATACCTAACATTTTTAGAAGTAACAGAACATGGTTAAAGATGGAGAAGTTTACAGTTTGCCTTTTCTGTTTAGAATATAAAAACTGAAACATATCCAGTCATCTTAAAATGCTAACATATTTTGCTGTTCTGGCCAGAGTCAATTTTTTTTGGGGCAGGGAGACAAAAAATTGAAAAGGTCAAAATAAAAATTTCAATATATATCTTGTGCTGCTCAGAATCAAAGAGATTTCAGTTTTTCAAAATGTTAGCAATTCTTTTCCAACCCAAAAAATACATTCAACATTAGAAACCTCATAATAAATAGTTAAATTTTCAGTATCACATGAAAGTCTGTTTCATTTGCGTTTTCATCAATATCCCTGAAGTCCGTTGTACACTTTTTTCACTGGTCCTTGTTTAAGCAGCTGCTTTATACCTACAAAGTGGAAAAAGCAAATAGTTATAAAGCCATTTTGTGTTGACAGTCTACATTGATTTAAGCAAAGAGTTTTTGCAGAACGTGTCAGTCAACCCATGCACAGCTTCAGAATGAAGTGAATGTGCACCTACATTTCTCTACATAGGTTGTTGATCTTTGTAAGCAAAGAAATCTAAAATCCCATATTTGAAAGGTTAAAAAGGTTCATGTTAATTAATTTAAAATTTGAATTATTCTGAACAAAGAAACTATTATATCTAGATTATTACTGATGAAATTCAGATTTGTTTTGTTAACATTTGCAAAGACTATCACAGCAGCTTTGGTCTTTTATAGAGATTTGAATAGAATCAAGGTGTATTGTAAACGTAACATGGAGGAAGACCAGGCGAGTTTAGAAAACAAAACACATGAAAAGTAGCAGAGGCTTCACTGTAAAAGCAATGCAGAGAGGAATGTCCTGGTGAGCTGAGTGTATGAAGGGCAGTGGAGGCCTTATGGTAAAATCAGCGCAAAGAGAACACAATCCAGCAAGTTTAAAAGAGCTAGGAATTCAGTCTGCTGACTGGTTTTAATAGTATTATGGTTTACTCGAAGTAATACAGCTGATTACCAAGTATGATTTATTAATCACATTAGGGTAAAAATAAGTCAGTTAACATAATAAAAAGATGACGGGTGAAGGGGGCTGTGTTTTGGCCCTAGGCTGTGGCAGGTCATGTGATCCTAGACAATTACATCTGTACTGTCTGTACCTGAAGAGACTGAATGCTTGGTTGCTAAATTTGCTGATGGCACAAAGATAGGTAGCAAACTTAATTATGAAGAGGACCTGAGGAGTCTGCAAAGGGGTAAAGAGATGTTATTGAGTGGGTAAAACTTTAGTAGCTTAAGTATAATGTGAGAAAATATGAAATTATTCTTTTTGGCAGGAAGAGAGAAGCAGCATATTAATTAAACGGAAAAAGATTGTGGAACTCTATAACTCAGGGATCCGAGTGTCCTGGCACATGAATCACAAAATGTTAGCTAGTAGGTACAGCCATTGACTAGAAGGAAACTGGAATGCTGTTTATTTAGAATCCCCTTTGCAATAAAAAGCACATTGTTTTGCTACTGTTGTACAGGGTATTAGTTTTTGATCACATTTGGACGACTGTGCACAATGATCTCTACTAAAGGACATAACAATATTAGAAACAGTGCACAGAAGATCATTCAATTGATTCCCAGGAGGAGGTCGTTATCTTACGGGGAAAGGCTAGATTGATTTAGACTGTATACACTGGAGTTTAGACTGGGAGGCAGTTTTATTGAAGCATACAAGAACCGAAGGGACTTGACAGGGTGGATGCTGAAAGGAGGTTTCTTCTTGCATGGAAGATCAGAATTAGGGGTTTTTTTTAAATGAGGGGTGACCCCTTATAAAACAGTGATGAGGATCTTTTTAAAAAAATGGGCTATTTGTTTGTGGAATTCTTCACCCCAGAAAGCAGGGTCATTGACTATTTTTAAGACAGTGGTATATATATTGTTGACTAACAAGGTAAGCTGGAAAGTGGAGTGAGGTCATTCAGATCAGCCATGGTCTTATCAAATGGTGGAGCAGGTTTGAGGGGCTGAATGGCCTGCTCCTGTTCACAATTTGTACGTTTGTCATAGTAGCTAGCACAACAATGATTTTAATCAGATGAATTTTATCATTCCAGTTTAAGCAAAATGAACTAATACATCCATAAAGGATCCAAAAGTCAATAAATCTAAGGTTCCTGAAGTCATTATGGTGTGGTCACTGGGGTGGAGGTACTACTTGAATTAACATAATATTAATGGAGTGTCATATTGATCAATGTCAGTATCGAATGCAGTAATTAGTATTGAGAAGTCAAACAACTTGGATCATGAGCCTTTGCTAATAGAACCCAAATGTACCCCTTGTTGAGTTCTGGGAAAGATTTTGGGGCAAATTTGCACATAACAATCAATGGCACTGGAGACAGGTGGAAAACAAACACACATGTAATGGAATGGGGTGGGGGGTGGGGGGAAGAGAAGGGAAGAAAAGAATATCACTGATCAAAAATGACACAGCAAAGAACTGACTGTTGAGTTTTTCCCCCATTTGGTGGCAGGAATACTCGTTTCTATGTGAATAATGGATGCAGAGCAAAAACAATATCCCATCATTATTGCTACATTCTGAATGCACCTATGATAGGACAATGTTGAAAGTTTCACAGCTGAAAGGATACAATTTAGCACGTTAATGTACTTGCCTTCCTTCTGATCGCCAGTAAGTTGTTCCCTGGGAAATTCTACATCAAATGTTATTATAAGTGAACCTCTAATGTTATTGTTGTCGAAGTTTGGCAGACCCTCTCCTTTTTTCCATACTTTTGCACCTGGCTTTGTAATCTTGTCTCTAACTATTTGGACCTGAGGGGCAAAATAGAATCAGAAACAAATTTTTGAAAGTGATAAACATCAAGCATCCAAATGTTGGCTATGTAAAATTTACTACCTTTCAGAAATTAGCCTCATTATAGACATTATGATGAATATTACAATACTCCATGTGAATGTTTGACTGAATAGCCTACAATTTTACTACATTTATTAGAAATCAGCATGTGCTGAACATTCTCCATTCTCAATAAAGGCAATTCTGTCTATTGTTAAGAAATAAAGGCATGTATAAATTACAATCCTCTTACCTTGTGACCATCCAAATGAGAGATGACCATTTCAAAACCTATCAATGCTTCCACTAATGAAATTGTGACATTTGTATAGAGGTCATCACCCCGTCTCTCAAATATTGGGTGCCTAAAATAAAACACAGTAACTAATATGAAAACTAATCTTAAATGTTTTCTTTGCTGTCATTGATTTAAGGTAGCAATTTGTACAATGTTCATCACCAAGTCTGGCTTAGCAGCAAGGACATGATGCTAGACTGGTGGTGAGGGATCCAATGAGAGGGAAATACACAAGTGATCTCGTCCTCACCAATCTGCTGGCTTCAGATACATCTGTCCATGAATTAGAGATGAATGACCACCAGCATAGTCTTTGTAGAGACAAAATCCTTCCTGCACACTGATAATACTTTATAGCATGTTGTGGGGTGCTCTCACCATACTAAACGGCTCAGACTTCAAACATTTTTAGCAACTGAAAAGTGAGATCCATGAGGCACTGTGGGCCTTCAGCAGCAGAATTTACACCCAACAGAATCTGCAACCTCATGACCCAGCATATCCCCCCACTCTACCATTACCATCAAGCCAAGGGATCAACCCTGGCTCAAAGAAGAGTGCAGAAAGGCATGCCAAGAGCAGCACTAGACGTAGCTAAAAATGAGATGTCAACTTGAAGAAGCTACAAAAGTGGGACTCTTTGCATGCAAAAGCAGCAAGTGATAAACAGACCTAAGCAATCCCACAATAAACAGATCAGATCTTCAGGACTGCAGTCCTGAATAGTGGTGGACAATTAAACAACTCACTGGAGGAGGCTTCACAAGTATCCTCAATGATGGGGCAGCCTAGCAGATAGATGTAAACGTTAAGGCTCAAGCATTCCAAATCTTCAGCCAGTAGAGACAAATAGATGATCCACTTGGCATCCTCCAGTGGTCCCCAGCACAGTAGTCAGCTTCAACCAATTCGACTCACTCCTCATGATAACAAGGACTGGTGGAGGCACTATAGTCTGAAAAAAGCTATGGGCCCTGACAATATTCAGCAACTGTGCTGAAGACTTGTGGTCCAGAACTCGCCACACCCCTAGTCAAATTATTTTAGTACAGCAACAGCACTGGCATTGCCCAAAAGTGTGGACAATTGCACAGGAACGTCTGATTCAGAAAAAAGCAGGCCAAATATCACGGATAACAAGGTGTCGAGCTGGATGAATACAGCAGGCCTTGTTATCTCCGATTCTCCAGCATCAGCAGTTCCTACTATCTCTGAGGCCAAATATCATCCCAATCTACTCAAAGCAGTAAGGTGTCATAAACAATGCTATCAAGCAACACTTAAGCAGTAACTAGCACTCAATTTGGGTTCTGCTAGGGCCACTCAGCTCCTGTCCTCACGACAGCTATGATTCAAACATGATCAGGACAGCTTAATTTAATTTGAGAGGCGAGATGAGAATGACTGCTCTTAACATCCAAGGCTTCATTTGACTAACTGTGGCATCAAAGAGCCCGATCAAAACAAGTCAATGGGAATTAGGGTAAAAGCTCTGCACTGGTTGGAGTCATATGTGGCACACAGGAAGATGGTTGTGTTTACTGGAAATCAGTCATTTCAGCTCCAGGATCTCGGCAGGAGCTCCTAAGGTAGATATTTTCTAAAATCAACCTGTTCAGAATGTTATTACACACATCCATAGAAGGTGGGACTTAAACTCAGGCTATCTTGATTAGAGATAAGGACGTTGCCACTACAGCACAACAGCCCTAGTTCCTTGGGGTAGTGTCTTAGGTGCATATTTCCCCACTTGCGTCAAAGACCTTCCTTCCATCATTTTTTTTGATGATTGCAAGATGTTCAGCACAATTTGCAACTCCCCAGATATTGAAGCATGTACAAATGCAGAAAAACCTGCACAGTATCAGGCTTGGGCTGACAAGTGGCAAGTAATATTTGCACCACACAAATGCCAGGTAATGACCATCTCCAATAAGAGACCTCTGTTCCTTGCTATTCAACAGTGTTAGCAAAATTGAATCTCTAACAATATCATGGGGCCATCATTGACAAGAAACTGAACTTGACTAGCCATAAAAATACAGTCCCAACAACAGCAGGTCAGAGGCTAGGAACATTGTAATGAGTAACTCACTTCTTGATTCCCCAAAGCCTGTCCATTATTTAGAAGGCACAAGTCAGGAGTGTAATGGAGTACTCCTCACTTGCCTGGATAAGTGCAGCTCCAATAACATTCAAGAAATATGGCATCATCCAGGACAAAGCAGCCTGCTACATTTGTGGGTGTGGCACCAACATCCACTGCCTCCACCTGTGCACTGCAGAAATTCAAAGATCCTTATACTGCACATTCCAAACCCACGACCACTACCACCTAGAAGAAGGTCAGTAGATACATGGGAACGATATCATCTGCACGTTCCCCTCTAAACCACTCGCCATCCCAACTTGAAAATATATTGCTGTTCCTTCAGTGTCATTGGGACAAAATCCTTGAATTTTCTCCCTAAGAGCATTATGGATCTATAGCAGTTCAAGAAAACAACCCACCACCACATCAAGGGCAACTAGGGATGGGCTGTAAATGTTGTCCTTTAGGGAAGGAAATGGCCTCCTTACCAGAACTAGCCTACATGTGACTCCAGGCACACAGCAATATGGTTGATGCTTAACAGCACTCTGGACATAAATGCTAGCTTAACCAGCAATGCACATCTTGTGAATAAATTAAAGAGGCCATCATTCACATCCCAAGATGAACTTTTAAAAAAACTTCACATAGCATCTTAAACATTCTTTCCTACCATCACCATGGCTAGTGTCCAGCATCTGAGATGCACTCCAGCAATTGCCAAAACTTCTGATGGTATCTCCGAAATCCATGACTTTTACTGTTTGCAGAGCAAGGGCAGCAATCAAGCAGGAAGATCACCACTTTCATATTCCCTTCAAGTCGCATACTAACCTGATTTATCATTGTTCTATCAAAGTCTCTGGGTCAAATTCCTGAAACTCATGACTTAAAAGCACTAAGAGTCTAAGAAACTGCTTCACCTCCAGCATTGAGGACAATTAACAATGGGCAATAAGTACCAATCTTGTGATGCCCAAATCCTACCAAATTATTAAACATGCAAATAACTGAAATGATTCATAGGATCAAAGCAGCTGAAGAAATATTACTAATCATGTCTGTCCGGCTCTTTGAAACTGCTACTCAATTAGTCCTTAGACCTACTCCTCTGGTCCACGCCCATATCCCTACATTTCACTTTTACAAATATATATTCAATTCCTTTTCGATCTTAGCTGTTTGAACAGCTACCACCAGATAGAGCTGGCAAATTCATTGAATATATTTTAATTTTTCTGCTAAATGATATTATATTTAACTTCTGATTACTAACCCATAGCCATCTCTTGTTTGGAGGAAAAGGTATCCTAACTTCTTTTCTCTCATTGCATTTAAATTATTTAGTCAAGTCTCTGGTAACATTCTGGAAAATCTCCTCCAAAACCTTGATGTTCTTCCTAAAGCGTGGTACCCCGATTTGGACAATTATCTGGTTGCTAATTTCAAAAATCTGTTATGTGCTCACAATCATTACCTTTTGCTATTATATTCTAGACAGTTTACTATATTTCCAATCTTTCTGCCCTGTTGAAACTTTGATGTCTTACCTTCTTTAGCCAAGTTCAGGCCATTAAGATACATGGAGTCAGAACTTCTACAAGTAAAAATTAGTAAAACCAACACATTTGTGTTCATCCCCAAATAAAAGCTAGTAATTTTGCCTGTACAAAGAGCATGAATTCCAAATAATTTAAAACAGAGATTCATAGCCATTATAAAGAGCATCCACCAACAGCTCTGTTGTATCACCTTCCTCACCTTTTGCTACGTGTCCATGGAAAAAACCTGCATCACTTTTGGGTAACATTTGGTGAATAGGTTTTTCAGCTCCTGGAATTTCACTCCAAACATCAACACATGCAAAACTCCATCAGTCTCATTCAGCTTTTATTCTCCTATCCTTATAAACTTGCTTCAGCCCAGTGCTTTACATTTTTCTAAACTGACCGATGGTAGAACTCAAGGATCTCAGCATTTCACTGAAAAGTCTTTACATTTCCCCACATACTGCCTACTTTATAAAAGTCTCTTTGACCATTTCATCAGTCATTCTCCTTCCCAACCTCCTAACCGGTTATTTCCAGTATGTAAGTTTTAAGAGGCTTTAAATATTGTATTCCAAGTCCCAGACCTGAGTCAGAAAATTTTAGCAAACTACCACTGGTGCTTTGTGAAAAGAAAATTGGATATCTTTGACAAAAAGAAAATTGAAATTCCCCACTTGTGCCATTAGTCTTAGATAAAGTAGTAAATAAAATAATTTCTTACTTTAAAACCTTTATTCTGAATTTCAGATCTCCAGGTTCTCCATCTATGTGAGGTTCACCTGTGAGAAAACACAATGTACAACTTAATCTTCACACATGAAAAAGGTACCTGCTTTGTAAATAGAAAACCCATTTGCTGAAACCAATACTGTTTCTGGCAGCATTATATAAAACCAGGCAAGCTGCCAAATCTTCATGTTAGCACTTGCACATACATCATTGTCCCTGCGAAAATATTCATACAGTTAAAGTGCTGGCCTGGTTCAACAATACTACATTCAACCAAGGCAGGTCACAACTGCAAATCCCATTTCAATTGGTAAACTATGACAACACTTCAGGGACTGTCAGAAGGTTTACCTTTCGATGAGACATTAAACAAATGCTTCACCTGCCTCTTTAGGTTGCTGCTAAAGATCTTGTGGCACATGCGCAAGAGCAAATGATTTCATAACCTAATTCATTAAAGCTTACAGAAACCTACTAGGTGCAAACTGGTTGCCAGGTAACCAACAAAATCAGGGACCATTTAAAGTGTCAAATTCACTGTGAAGTACTTTAATACTTAAAGCATGTGAAAGGTGAAATAGATGCTATTAAAACTTTGTTACTGCAACATCAGAAACTATATAACCACCTACAAAAAGAATCAGAAGTCGAACCTAATTATAGTTGAAGAGTATGAGAAGCCCAGAAATGGAAGCAATGCAGCGTAGAATTTTCTACCAGCACATGATGAATTCGTGCTTCAATGGACATTCAACCTTCCTCCCTTATTTTTGCCAGATCTCAATAGGTCAAGATAATACAACAAGGTAATGAAGCATTATATCTCAAAAAGGTGGAATATGACGTGCAGAAGACAACAGGAGCAGTCTATCCTCCAGACTATAATCAGTACCATTACAAACACTACGGGAAAAGTTTGTGGTTCAGAATTCTTGTAACTCAAGCAGACAATTGAGTTTGGAAGTTTTTTTTAGGAGGGGAGCAGGAGTTAAAGTACATATTTTGTAACAACTGGTCAATTTCAAATTGATATTTTAATCTAATGATAAGCTGGTGTACAAAAACACTTCCTATTGTTTTGACTTCCAATGAGGTTATAACTGCATAAGTTATAACTCCCAGACTGAAGATAACAAGGTGTGGAGCTGGATGAACACAGCAGGTCAAGCGGCATCAGAAGAGCAGGAAAGCTGACGTTTCGGGCCTAGACCCTTCTTCAGAAATGGGGGAAGAGGAAGGGGATTCTGAAATAAATAGGGAGAGATGGATAGAAGATGGATAAAGGAGAAGATAGGTGGAGAGGAGACAGACAAATCAAAGAGGCGGGGGTGGAGCCAGTAAAGGTGAGTGTAGGTAGGGAGTTAGGAAGGGAATAGGTCAGTCCAGGGAGGATGGACAGGTCAAGGGGACGGGATGAGGTTGGTCGGTAGGAGATGGAGGTGCGGCTTGAGGTGGGAGGAGGGGATAGGTGGGAGGAAGAACAGGTTAGGGAGGCATTTCCATAATCAAGAAAAAAAAATCAAACCCCAACCTTTCAAACTGAACCCATGCACAATAGTTGACTTTGTTTGCTCATAAACTTTCCCAATGTAACATCATATTACTCTCCAGGAAGATTCTCTAACATTGTTTAAAAGAAAATCACCATGGTTACAGAAATACAAGTTAACTAAGCCTTTTCAGTAACACAAGCCCATATGATATTAGTTCATAAGTCCAAAATTACAAAAAGAAACATTAAAATATGTACAAACCACATACCTTACATCACATAAGCAAAAAGAGCAAAAACTATAAAAACAGGACAATCTGGAAGTTGCAACTGGAAGTGCAAACATTTGACTTTTCTTTGTAAAACTGCATCTGAAAAAGTAGTTTTCATTAATCCATTGTTCATCAGGTGATGATTCCTTTCTATGGTGCCATCCTCCCTGGAGCCAGTAAATGTAATCTGTAATTTTGATTTATCATTGACTTTGGTTGGCAAGGGAAGAGAAAGGGGAAAATATCCCTTAATGGAGGGCAAGTGGAGAAGGAAGTCAAGAATGGGCCAGTCATCACACAAGATTTCTGTTCTGCCAAGAACATGAACACTTGTCCTGAGTTTTAACAAAAGCAAAAGCCTGACTTTTATCTGTGACATGAGTAGTTACTTTAATCTTAATTGGTTAGGCCTAGGACCAGCATACACTGTCCCTGTTCCACCACTTTCTCTTTTGAAAATTATAACTGGGACTTTACAATGAGCATTGAAATCAATCTGCATCTTTACACAGTCATCCAGTTGTTTGAAGCAGAAATGGTAGGATTCACTTAAAAGGCCTGTGAAAATTAAACCAAGGTGGGACGAAAAAACCCCAAACTGCTTTAGCTGGTTGCAATTTTTTCAGAAAAAAGAAATACAATTATATTCCCTCTGCTACATTAGCATCCTGACCGCATTGAACCCTTGAATTCATGCCAAAGCTGTGGGCAGGCTAATCTGCTCAACCATGGAAGCCATTGAGCATTTCAAAATGTTGTTAACTCAGCTAGAGAACAGAATGTCATCTTTTGCTTGGATAACAGCAACATTTGGTGTCAGATTTATACTAGTTTATATTTATAACAGTGTTTAGTCATGCATTGCCTTTAAACAACTAAAATATGTAAAAACATACCACAGAGTAGAAATAGCAAGAGGAGACCGAGAAGGATAGTTGAAAAGTAAGGAGTTTTGGAAGCATGGAAAAGTAGTATAGCAAAACACTAACGCAGGGAACACCAGACAGTAGTCAAGGCAAGATCAACAAGGGCTAAAGACAGAGGGCTAACAACTGCTGGCAAGTGACCAGATTGAAGGATCTGGAGGATTACGGCAAGGACAAACTACAGTTGATTTGTTAATCCAGTACATGGAGGAAGCAAAGGAGGTCAGCAAGGGCACAGAAACAAACAACCAGAACATCATTTGGGAGTGAAATAGAGAGAATTCATGAGATAAAGATTTCCAAAACAGAGTTGGTACAAGTTCAAGTGGTTAGTGTTGAGAGATGGAAGCAAATTGTTTTATGACAGACAGGCTATGGGGTTGGAAACTCAGTTCACCTGGGTTATAAACCATCAGGTTTTATCTTAGCAAGCAGCTGGAGAGAACAAAGTCTGTTTTGTGAAAGTCACATGACAGGTCTCCAATATTAGACTGGAAGAACATAAACAGAAATTGTTGGAGGAAACTCAGCAAGTGTGGCAACATCTGTACAGAGAGAACAGAGTTAATGTTTTGAGTACACTGACACTTCAGAAAGGTCACTAGACTCTAAACGTTGTCTCTGGCTTTCTGTCCTCAGATGCTGCCAGACCTGTTGAGTTTCCTCCAGTAATTTCTGTTTTTGTTTCAGAGTTCCAGAATCTGCAGTTCTGTGTTTTCTTTTAGATGGGGAGGAGGAGGAGGAGAGAGAAGAAAGAGATGTCAGAGATGATAATATGACAAAATTCTTCATCAAGATAGAGGGTGAAGTCATTGATTCCGAAACTAAAGTCCTGAATCGAAACAACAAGGAACTAACAATATGAAGCAAGAATTTAATGATTGATTGAGAACTAAAACAGGTTGACGGTAGATAGGCAATGGTTCATATTTAAAGAATGCGTGCATGAATTGGTTATTGCTGCCTAGTGCAAAAATGAAAGAGGAAAGTGGCTCAACAATGACTTACAAAATAAGTTTTGGATAGTATTGTGTTCAAAGAGGAAACATACCAAATTTCCAGAAAACAACAACAAACCCAAGGATTGGGAGCATTTCAGAATTCAGCAAAAGAGCTGAAAAAGTTTCATCGAAAAGGGGGAAGGAAAAAAAAAGAATAAAAATTGCTAGCAACATAGAAACGGACAGAAATCTTCTGTGTAGCGAAGGCGAAAAAGATTAGTAAAACCAAATGTAGGTCCCTCACAGTCAGAAGTTGGGGACCAATGAAATGACAGAATTGAATATATACTTTACCTCTGCGTTCACAAGAGGGCACAAATAGTCTTCCAGAAATGGAAGGGAACCATGGATCAGTAACAGAATAGAATTGAAGGAAATCAGTATTACAAAAATGGTGCTGGGGAAATTAATGGGGTTAAAGGCTGACAAATCTACATTGCAGGGTACTAAAGGAATTAGCCCTGAAAATATTGGATGCATTTTAAGTGGCCATGCAAAGTTCTATTGACTCTGTAGTTCCTACAGATTGGAGGGGGTCAAATGATATTCTACGATTTAGAAAGAGAGGGAAGAAGAGATAAAAGGAGTACAGACCAGTAGTAGGCAAATTACTACAGTCTACTATAAAAGACATGGTAACAGAACATTTGGAAAGCATTAACAATTAATCAAAGTCAGCATGGGTTTATGACAAATCGATTAAAATTTTTTGAGAAGGTAACTGCTGGAATAGATTAGAGAGTACCAGCTATGACCCAACTAAATGGAGGAGTGGGTTTAAAGGACCAAATGGCCTACTCCTACGTCAACTTCTACTTTTCATGTCAGGCAAGCAATCTCTCAAATTGGGACAGATTAGTGGGACAGAGATAGATCCAGGTGCTATCATCATGCAGGTGACAACTGAACTAACTATTCAGTTAATGCACCTTGTTACATTGTGCAACATGAATGGCTGGGGAAAGAGGATACAATCATGGGATAACACAGGATGTGTCGAAGTGGAAAGAAAAGCTGTATACCCATTTGACCAGCCTTCCATGCGGCTCCTGTTCCCCTCCTTTAAAGATGAAGTGACAGGAAAATGGACAGATAAGATTTGACTGGCACTAAGAAGCCTAAAGTATCAACTGAGTATAGGCTGTCATTTACTTTTAAACAAAGGAAATCCACTTGTCAGCATGAGATTTTATTATGTTTAAAAGCATGCCTAAATTACGATAGCGAGGGAACTCCTGTGCAGTCTGATGTCCAACAAAAATATACTATCTCACAACCATACCTTCTCCAATGAAAGGATATTCCATTCCATCCCGAACACCAGGTTCTATCTCCACTTCAAGCGTCCTCTCCTCATTTACAAGCCTAAATATTGAAATGAAAAGGAATACATTTTTAAAAAAAAAAAAAAGAGACAGAACTCCTTTTAACTATTACTTGTACTTCAGCTTGTGATGACACCTTTTGGACAAAATGTGACAAATATTATTGATAGAGCTCTCAAATAATATTAAGTTGAAATTAGTCAGTAGTGCAGAACTCTAGAACTGCCAAAAAAGACAGATTTGTTGAAGCTTTTTGTTTTGCAATTGGGAGTGAGAAAAATAGTAAATGTAAAGGAAAACACCATTCATACCACATAAGAGGAGAATGGAGATTAGAACGACGACATCTGCTCAATCACTGCAAAGAATTATGTTGACAACCAACTTGGGACAGTCAGATTGCAGTATGACGTACTTACATGTACTGCATGCTACATGTATTAATACACAGGGCCTTGTTCTGCTTCGATAGAACATGTACAAGCCCATTTCAACTCGCAAAAAAAAAAGATTTAGTACTGTTTTTCAGTTCATAGCAAATGACCTGTCAGCATGCATTGGCTGCTGTCAGTTACCATTAACTGGTACATGCTCCATGGCAACATCTCTACCACTCCAAGTACTCTTGCCAACTAATAAGCACTCTCCTCCTTGTATAATTGTTGTTTTCCCTTTGACAATGTGAACTTCAGAATTTTAATAACTTCATGGATTGAAAGAATCAGCAATAGCTCTTACTGGAATAAACTTACGAGATAGAAGGGACAAGGAGAAGCTGTTATAAAGGAATTAGAAGCAACTTGCTCATTAACCATCCCTGAAAAGAAGAATTTGTTTCCTGGGAAAGAGGAGACAACACTGCTTGACAACCTGCTGCCTCATGACAAATGGGCAATTAAGTCTGCCTGCAGAAGGAAGATTCTGAAGTAAAAGGGTTAATTACAGGAAAAGCTAGTTTTAAAACAGACAGCTAACCCCAATTGTAACAAGGAACAGGGAGCTACTTCTGATAAGAAGTCAAGCTACAGACTTGATGTCTCCAGGAGAGTAGTCAATGTTGTGGATGAAAGAATCTATTCAATCATCAATAATGTCACACCACCAAATTTGAAACAGAGAACATTCTATAAGAATCCAACACCAGAACAATTCAGTAGTAGAACTCTGAAGATCAATACAGCACAAGGACTGAACCTGGACTCTTCGAGAGATAGACATCATTAATCAGTAATAGTCAAGCTGAGTTGCGAGGCTTCAACTTGTTTACTTGAGTGGTCTTATTTTGGTTGCTACATGCAATAAAGTCTAAATTATTATTTCAATACTAGTTTGTCTGTGAGATTTCTTAATAAGTAGCTAGATTAAAAGGTAACTTGTGGTAATTTACAAAAACACCTTTACTTTTCCTTTGTGAATTATCCAAACGAGTGCAAGACAAAAAGCTTTGACAAATCGTTTTTTCCCCAGCAAATTGAAGATGTTAAAACCAATACTCACTTAACATTGGGACACTCATCGCAAACCATTTCCTGAGTCATCTGGAATCTTCCAGGGCCTAATTGTGTGGTTCTCATTTCCTGTCTGCAGTTACATTTCCTCTTTCCAGGAGCTTGCTTTGCCACTGGCTTGTTTCTTACAACCTGTCAAGTTCACAAAATTGCTTTCCAGTTATATTTAAAATTAGTCCTTGAAATACTAGTCATGAGTTTAAAAGGCATTGTTTGATGTAGTGATTTGTCTTGTTTTACAAACGCATGAATTAGAAGCAAAAGTCGGCCATTCAAGCTTGCTTAAACATTCAATGCGATCATGGCAGATCTGCGGTATTGTGAATTCCACATTCCAATCTACCTCCGAAAACTTTAGATTCTTGGAGACAGAAAGGACTGCAGATACTGGAAGCTACAGTCAAAAAAACATGGAGCTGGAAAAGCACAGGAGGTCAGACAGCATCCGAGGAGCAGGAAAGTCAATGTTTCGGATCAGAAACCTTCTTTTGACTCTAGTTTCCAGCATTCGCAGTCCTTTCCGTCTCCAAACCACTGAAAACCATACTGCGAAGCTTCTAAGGATGCCCACCTTGAAGAGGATTTCCTCCTCCCTCTGAAGAGGGCTCAGTGAGTCTCTCTCCCACTCCAACCCCTCTGCCCCAAAACTCTTAACTACATTCTGAAGCAATCTCAATACTACTGCCATGTCTCCTTCCTCAGTGCCTGTCAATGCAGCCGGCTTATCCCCCATGGACTCCAGGTAACGTTCAGACCATCGTAAGCAGTCCTGAAGAAGGGGTTCCAACCCGAAATGTTGACTTTCCTGCTCCTCAAATGCTGTCTGACCTTTTCTAGCTCCACGTTTTTTAACTTTACATTCTTGTTGGGTATTGGAACCAATCTACCTCTGCCTTAAAAACATTCAATGCCCCCCAAACTCCTAAATAGAGGGCTCCAAAGTCATATAGCCCCTGAGAAGAAACATTTCCCATATCTGTCCTAAAAGGGCAACGCTAATTTAAAAAAAAACAAACAAAACAATGTCCCCTGGTCTGGACTCACCCACACAAGGAAACATCCTTTCTACATCCATCTTATCAAGACAGTTCAGGACCTAATAAACTTCAATCAAATCTCACCTTACTTTTCTGAAGTCCAATAAAAACAAGTCCAGGCTGTCTAATCTTTCCTCGTAAGACAAGCCACTCATTCTAGATATCAATCTTGTAAATCTCCTGTTAACTGCCTCTAATGCAACTGAAGCACAGCCTCCATCCTTTTACATTCAATTCCTGTCACAATAAAAGGATAGCATCCCATGAACCTTCCTAATCATTTTCTGTACCTGCATACAACGTTCCCTCTAAGTCATGCAACTGCTTGGAGGGTCCATGCATGCCAGTGTACAGGTGTATTGACTTCCAGTTCCAGAAGTTACTGCCACGTATGGACCACAGAGGTCCACACACCAGCAGCAAAAATTAGAGGGGCCATGGCCTGCATACTAACTCTTTGATACTCGTGCAATGAAACAAATCTCTCTACACTTGAATTGTACAACTATTCTCCATTTCAATAATATTCTGCTTTTTATGGTTCCTTAAATGAAGAACTTCACACTTTCCCACATTATATTCTATCTGCTAGATTTTTGTCCACTCAACCTATATCCAACTGTATTCTTCCCACGTCATCTATACAACATATTTTACTACCTTTACATCACCTGCAGGCATTCAGACACAGAGTCTTTCTCCTTCTCTCGTTGACTCAATGGACAAATTAACTATAAATTTAGATGATAGACCAGGAACATTACATGTATCTGGCAATGTAGCTACATTCAGTCAGAATAGTGAAAATAGGGCAGGAGTACAATTGACCTCAGGACCCTTATGATTTTCTTTTGGAATGGGTAGCAGAAGAGCAGTAAACAGAAACGATTGTGAGAACCTAAACTACTGCCTTCCAGTACAAGTGCCGAACTTCAGTCTTTAAAATATTTTCTGAACAGAGATGTTACAGCAAACCTCTGAAGCAGGCGGGACCTAAATCCATGCCTCCTGGTTCAGGGAGGTAGGGACATTGCTAGTGCACCACAAGACTGGGCTACAAAACAAGGTTATAAATATGACATGTACAAAATAACACCTTAAAATGAAATACCAGTTGAATTCTTCCCCAGGAATCACTGAGTCATACAGCATGGAAACAGACCCTACGGTCCAACTAGTCCACAATGTTTTCAAACTAAAATCAGAAGTTGCATGACACCAGATAATAGTCCAACAGGTTTATTTAATCAAAAGCTTTCAGAACACTGCTTCTTCATCAGGTAAAGTCCTGAAGGCCTGACAAAGGAGCAGCGCTATGAAAGCTTGTGATTTCAAATAAACCTGTTGGACTGACTTCTGACTTTGTCTACCCCAGTCCAACACCGGCACCTCCACATCAAACTAAACTAGTCCTACCTGCCTGCCTGCCTTTGGCCCATATCCCTCCAAACCTTTCCTATTCATATACTTATCCAATGTCTTTTAATATTGTAACTGTACCTGCATCCACCTTTTCCTCTGGCAGTTCATTCCTCACACTAACCTGTGTTAAAAAAAAATTTACCCCTCATGTCCTTTAAATATTTTTCCTCAGTTTGAAAATATGCCCCCTAGGTTTGAACACCCCAACTTTAGGGAGAAGACCTTTGCTATTCTCCTTATCTACGTTCTTCAAGATTTCAAAAACCTTTTGGAGGAAGAGAGAGGAAAAGTGATAAAAACAGATTTAAGGCTTACATTATTTAGGAACTACAAATACATAATTCCTCATATCCAAGAAAACATTTGTTCAATTTTAGCTGAAATTCATAAGTGATGTGACAAGTGATAAATTCACAATAGTGGTATGATATCTAGAATACGTTCCAGTTGGGACTACCCTAATTACAGAGAGTCATAGAGATATACAGCACGGAAACAAACCCTTCGGTCCATCTCATCCATGCCAACCAGATATCCTAAATAAACCTGGCAGCATTTGGCCCATATTGCTCTAAACCCTTCCTAATCATATCCCCATCCAGATGCCTTTTAAATGTTATAATTGTATCAGCCTCCACCACTTCCTCTGGCAGCTCATTCCCCACACACGCACACCCTCTGCATTATAAAGTTACCCCTTAGGTCCCTTTTAAATCTTTCCCTTCTCACCCTTAAACCTATGCCCTCTAATTTTGGACTCCCCCACCCCAGGGAAAAGACTTTGTCTATTTACCCTATCCATGCCCCTCATGATTTTATAAACTTCTTTAAAGGTCACCCCTCAGCTTCTGACATGCCAGGGAAAACAGCCCCAGTCTATAAGCCTCTCCCTATAGCTCAAAGCCTGGAAACATCCCTGTAAATCTTTTCCGAACCCTTTCAAGTTTCACAACATCCTTCCCACAGCAGGGGAGACCTGACAGTATTCCAGTAGTGGCCTAACCAGTGTCCTGTACAGTTGCAAAATGACCTCCCAACTCCTATACTCAATGCACTGACCAATAAAGGCACACATACCAAATACCTTCTTCACTATCCTGTCTAACTGTGACTCAACCTCCAAGGAACTATGAACCTGCATCCCAGGTCTCTTTGTTCAGCATCACTCCCCAGGCCCTTACCATTAAGTGTATAAGTCCTGCCCTGATCTACCTTTCCAAAATGCAGCACCTCACATTTATCTAAATTAAACTCCATCTGCCACTCCTCAGCCCATTTGATCAAGATCCCATTGTACTGAATTAACTTTCACTGTCAACTACACCTCAAATTTTGGTGTCATCTGCAAACTTACTAACCACACCTCCTTTGTTCACATCCAAATCATTTATATAAAATGATGAAAAGCAGTGGACCCAGCACCAATCCTTATGGCATACCACTGGTCACAGGCCTCTAGTCTGAAAAGCAACCTTCCACCAACACCCTCTGTCTTCCCCCTTGAGCCAGTTCTGTATCCAAATAGCTAGTTCTCCCTGTAATCTGTGTGACCCAGCCTTGCTAACCAGTCTACCATGATGAATCTTGTTGAACACCTTACTGAAGTCCATATAGATCATGTCCACCGCTGTCCTCATAAACCCTCTTTGTTACTTCTTCAAAAAGCTCAATTTTTGCCTTTTGTAGGTTTCTAAATTATATTGCACAAAAGGTCTATCAAGTTACAATACAAATCAGGCTGAGCATCGCAACAGAAAATATAGAACAATAGTGTACAATTTTGTTCCAAGTCCAAATCATTAATTGCTCAAATTAATTTAATGATCAAATAACTATTCCTTCAAACCTGAAGTATATAGCTACATTACTGTCAAGATATAATCTTGCAACCTAACAGTACACAGATGCAACAACAAAATAATTTCCACTCAACTCGGTTTCTCACAGCAATACTTTAAAGGATATATTAGGTGACATTTTTGTCTTTCGATTAAGTATTTTCCTAGGAAGTAGAAGCAGAAAATGCTGAAAACACTCAGCAGCTCTGGCAGTATTGATGGGGAGAGAAACCGAGCTAACATTTCAACAAAAAGGCAAACTTTTATTCATTGAGTAACCACAGTAGAAGCAAAACTATGTTCGTGCTTTTCTACATTCTAATGAAGGAATAAATAATGATAAGTTGTTTTTATTTTAAACAGTTTTAGCTGTATATTTCTTGAAACATTTATCTATAGAATTTTAGAAATTATTTTTAAATGATGTATTAAAGATTAGCTATCACAGAGGTAGCAATAATCTAAACACCCATTTTAGTCATTTTTCAATAGAAAGTAATTAGTCCGGCAGTTTTATTAGGTTTTATTCAATGTCTGGATCAGTCGTCTGCTGCGTCAACAATGCCAGTTTTAAATGAAGTAGACAAATCGGGCTCTCTCAAAAGGAGACTGCGAATGTCTTAAGATTAATTACCCCTGACATGAATACATTGAAATAGCACCATTATTCTCAATTCAATATTTAAGTTGAGGCAAATGTTCCACTTTGTTTTGGTTTGTACATTTTGAACTGACTCCACACAACAGCAAAATTAATTCATTAATACGTACGAACAAGTAACAAGAGTTGGCCACTTGGCCCTTCAATCTAGCTCTACCATTCAACAAAAGGTCA